GAGGGGCGCTACAGGGCCCAAGGAGGGCGCGACGGGGCCCAGGAGGGGCGCTACGGGGCCCAGGAGGGGCGCGACGGGGCCCAGGAGGGGCGCTACGGAGCCCAGGAGGGCCGCGACAGAGCCCAGGAGGGGCGCTACGGGGCCTGGAAGGAGCGCGACGGGGCCCAGGAGGGGCGCGACAGAGCCCAGGAGGGGCGCGACGAGGCCTGGGAGGAGCGCGACGGGGCCCAGGAGGGGCGCTAGGGGGCCTGGGAGGAGTGCGACGGGGCTTGGGAGGGGCGCGACGGGGCCTAGGAGGGCGTTACAGGGCCCAGGAGGGGCGCTACGAAGCCCAGGAGGGGCGCGACGAGGCCCAGGAGGGGCGCTACGGGGCCCAGGAGGGGCGCGACAGGGCGCTACGGGGCCTGGGAGGAGCGCGACGGGGCCCAGGAGGGGCGCTAGAGGGCCTGGGAGGGGCGCGACGGGGCCTGGGAGGGCGGTACAGGGCCCAGGAGGGGCGCTACGAAGCCCAGGAGGGGCGCGACGAGGCCCAGGAGGGGCGCTACGGGGCCCAGGAGGGGCGCGACGGGGCGCTACGGGACCTGGGAGGAGCGCGACGGGGCCCAGGAGGGGCGCTAGTGGGCCTGGGAGGAGCGCGACGGGGCCTGGGAGGGGCGCGACGGGGCCTGGCAGGGGCGCTACGAAGCCCAGGAGGGGCGCGACGGGGCCTGGCAGGGGCGCTACGAAGCCCAGGAGGGGCGCGACGAGGCCCAGGAGGGGCGCTACGGGGCCTGGGAGGAGCGCGACGGGGCCTGGGAGGAGCGCGACGGGGCCCAGGAGGGGCGCTAGGGGGCATGAGCGGAAGCGGTAGGTGGGGGGGGGGGATCCTACCTACGCTCTGATACCATATCAAAATAATTGAATAATCGTAAAGTGAGAGTATACACAAATATATCTAAGTTTTGTATCCTCTAAGAGGTGACTCTATACAGTCTATACAAACATGACAAATACACATGTTTGACAAGCTTTTGCTTTTTACTCTGTACTCAGTACCCATGGCTCCTTCCCCGCCATTCTCGCTCCCTAACACAGCGCTTACCTCCTATTTCGTCATTCACGGGAAAGGTGCGGCTTATTAGTAACGTTTACATGTTCCCGTAACCCTGTGGGCGACAGCTACCTGCCGCATCTCCGTTAGTTTATGCGACCAGTGATTTCGTACCTAATCGCCCACTTCGCTGCATGCCACGCTATCATTTTAGGGCGTGCCACGCGAAGACCTTATTAGCGAGCTCGAAGGCATTTCCTCGTCGGTGCGCCCAAGTACCTCGCCCGTTGCCTCGCTTCCCACTCCCCGCTCCTCGCAGCAGCTGCGAGAGCGCTGCCCCGCTTTCCCACTCTTCCGCATTCCCTGTTTTCCGCCCCGCCCACTGCATCTGCCTGCATTCGCCTCCCGGATTTCCCGCACTCAAGCTGCCACTGCTTTCCCGCTTCCCGTATCCCGCTTCCTGCTCTCTCGATTCCCACTTTCCCATTATCTTGCTTCCCCGATTTTCCGCTTTCTGCCCAATCCGCTAGCCCGCGTTCCCGCTTCCCCCCAGCATCCGCTTTCCCGCGTCCCCGCTTCCCCCAAGCACCCATTTTCCCCTCCCTTTCCCATCCTCGTCGGCCATCCCATGTCTTCCCGTCGCCAATTCCCTCCCTTCCTATCCCCACGCCCTTCCCTTTGCGTAGCTCATTGGTCCATTCCCTCACTCAAGCTCTTGCCTTGTCCTCCTGCTCGTCCCCCTGTTATCCCTCCGAACATTCCCACCATATCCCTATATCCCCTGTAATCCTCACACTGCCCTTCTCTCTCTCCCGCGTTCCGCCCATCTCTCTCTCCGCCGCAGCCCACCTCACTCTCCCCCGCTCTGCGCACCTCTCTTCCCCTCCCACTGGCTACCTCTCTCACGCCTACTCCACGTTATAATTCCTCCGACTCCCTTCCCTCGTTACCCTTGCTCTGCTCACCTCTATCCCCCCAGCTCATCCGAAGGTGGGCTCTGGCGGGGGGGAAGGTGGGCTCTGGTTGGCGGGGATTTTGACAAACCATGCATCCTAACCCTCCTCTGCCCCGCTAGCCTAAGGTACGTCCACTCCCGCTTCCAGGACTACGAAGCAGGGTCTAGGCACTCCTCTCCCATTCACCCGTCTCCCTTGCTCCCCTCTCCCGTTCTCCCGTCTCCCTTGCCCTCTCCCTGGGTAGGGGGGATCCGGGCTCTCTTTCGGGGCGGGAGGAGGGCTATGGGAGGGGGCGAAGCAAGGCTATGGGAGGGGGGGAAGCAGGGCAATGGGAGGGGGGGAAGCAGGGCTATGGGAGGGGGGGAAGCAGGGCTATGGGAAGGTGGGAAGCACGGCTATGGGAGGGGGGGAAGCAGGGCTATGGGAGGGGGGGAAGCAGGGCTATGGGAGGGGGGAAGTAGGGCTATGGGAGGGGGGGAAGCAGGGCTATGGGAGGTGGGGAAGCAGGGGAGGGAGGGAAGCAGGGCTATGGGAGTGGGGGAAGCAGGGCTACGGGAGGGGGGTAAGCAGGGCTATAGGAGGGGGGGAAGTGGGGCTATGGGAGGGGGGGAACCGGGGGTATAGATGGGAGGCATTGGGGCTCACTCTTCTCCCCTCTTCCCCCCCCCTACACCCGTTCTCTCTCTCCCTCTTTCTCTCTCACTCTCTCTCGTGCCTCGCACCCGTTCTCCCCTCCTCCCCGCGCTCCCTCACGGTCCCTCCCTCTCTGCCCCTCCCTCTCTCGCGCGCTCTCTCCCTCGCCCCCTCTCTCTCTCTTCCCCCCTTTCTCCCACTCCACTTTCTCATTCTCTCTCTCTTTCTCTCTTGTTCTCCCTTTTCCCCTCACTCTCCATCCACCGCCTGCCCCTTTTATTCTATATCGTTTATTGCCTTGGACATTCAACCCTCCCCCCCCCTGCCCCTTTCTCTCCTACAGCCTGCTCCCATTCTCACCTCCTACTTCCACCCTGTAGGTTGCAAGGTGCGTGGAAAAGGAGGTGAATAACGCCTAGGCTAGAGGACCCTGGCTGTTCCTGGCTAGACTGTTAGGGGTTTCCTAGGTTGTGCTGCATTGTGTGTCTTGTTCTTGCCTAAGAAAAAATGGCGCTCACGCCCGCTTGCTTGCTTATGTTTCAAAACGAGACTTTGCACTCAGTGGGAACTGGATACCCTGCTATTTTGAAGTCATGTGCTTCATTGTGTAATTATCGTCTAACCTATGTAAAAGTAGATGTGTTGTGCTAATTTCTTAGTTTTTTGTTTGTTTGTTTGTTTTTTTGGTTGAACACATGAGCCTCAGGAACACAGCACTGTGCTTTTCTCCATAAAAGATGTTTACTGTTGATTTCTGTCAGAACAGTCCTTAGCGAGTTCGACGGGCAGCGTCGCCCCGCTGTACCCTTACGACCTCGCCAGTTTTGGCGAGACCATTTCAGTCGTCGCGAGGCCCCTCGCGTTTCGCGTGGGGCCCGCCCCATTTTTGCGACACTTGTGCCCCTCGCCATTTTCGCTACCCCCAACTCAAGATTCAAAGTCTTTGAATCTTGAGTTTGGTCTGTCCGCTCGCTTTAACTACAAGAAGCTACTTCGTCAATCATACAGCTCAGCGTGCTATGCCCGTGAAAAAAATATAGGATTTTATGTAATTATAATGCAAAATGGGCATGCCTATTGCATATCATTGCATCAATTTTACATATGGTGATTTTCCAATCACAATGAAAATACTTACAACAACTTATTAATTTAGTGGTTATTACTGAATAAAATAATTCCGAATAATTCTAAATCACTATGCTCTTATGTCAGCATTTGTATTTCCTCATTATCATAAACTTCTACTAGGGTTAATAGATTGTGAACATTGAGTCTGATAGGCCTTTAGGGTGTCTAACAAAGTAGGGTGAAACGGGGGAAAGGGATTCGTCACGTCACTTTACCGAGATAAATTCCTGCTCTAACGTACGAAAACTCACTACATCTCTCTGCGACGTCCTGGACGTCTGGCTCGTCCTCATTTCAGCTTTGGCCGACACACACTTCACGTTTGTCCTTCGGCTTCGCCTGCGCACTGGGCTGGGCTGGGCAGTGGCAACTGCCACCTACCACTAGGGGGCAGATGGTGAAGGTTCCATCTGATGCTGCTCATTTTCCGGGGTCAGAACCAGAAGGCATGATTGTCGCTGGTTGTCGTCAACCTCCCGCCAAACTGCCACGGTCCAAAGATTACACAACAACGCCCTCTGCAGCCGCCGATCTCTCAGCTGGTGTGAATCTGACGATCAGACGAAACTGTAAGGTGTGCCAAACCAGCCACGGTGATTGGTGGGTTGAGGTGGTCGGTCCCTTTTCGCATCTTTCCTGCAGACCGCAAAGCAAACCAGCCGTCGGGATGCGACCATGTGAAATGAGACCATCGGGCGAGATTGTGCTGTACAGTTGTGTGTCCTCTGAAATCTGGATCATCTCTCCACTTCGGGATGGTTCTCCTAGGGCGTGGTACTTTGTTTTCTAAATTTTGAAACAACTCGATTTTTTTGGGTTCAAAAGACTGTCGCACGTTTCGTCAAGGTCCACAATCGGGTGTTCAAATCGCAAACAAATGTTACGGTACGACACGAACCTCGCGACACGTGTTGGCGAAATTAGAATGTCGTAGCAGCGAGCAGCGAAAAACGCCCCACCTCTTGCCCCCCGCGAATTGACACTTTTGGTCAATTATGCAGTGTCATTTCGTCTGCGTCGCGATACGGTCTGGGTTCTTCCAAATACGAATGTTGATTGTTCGTGAGTGCGGGTTTTGAAATATCCCAAGCGTTAGCGAAACTTATTCGCCACACTGAGGAAAACAGTAACCTGAATAAATCAAGTGAACCGACCGAATTGTACTAGCCCTTCGTTCCAGGGGGCTTTTCACAATCAGTCTTTCTCCTCCGATCTTGACGGATCCTGAAGCCATAACTTAGTGTGCATTCCCAAGGTCCTACACAACGCAACTCCCCATCCCTTCTGCGGTAATCCCTGAATAGCAAGCCGCATTGGTTCGTGGTCCCGTTTGTCTCCCAACGTCCTAGGGTCTACGCGCCGACTAAAGAAATCGACAAGCCAGCCTCTTATATCATCCAATTGCTTTTGCTAGATGCATAACAGATAGAAATTGGGCCCTGGGTTCATCAAGTCTCGTGATACCTGAAAGGAAAGGCTTGATGTGGTTTCCCTTCGTCGCGGCTTTCTGACGTGGCAGTGGATTGCGATTCCAATAGCTCACGCGTATCTTCGCTTCTTCGCTTTCTTCCCAGCTGTTGGCCGATCGCTAGCTTCTTTACCAAAGTTCTAGCGGCGGCCGTTTCTGAGTCGACTGAAGTCGATTTTATCTGCTAACTATCACTATTCCCGAATTTCAACTTACGATCGGCGAGCACATGGGTTTCCGACACCCGCCGATTCCTACTGGTAGTAGTAGCATGCAGCACATCAGGATGATCAACTATAGGTTACTACTGGCGCTTGTCGTTCTGCTGACAGCACACGCGTGGCTCGGCCATTCCATGGCATGTGCGTCGTGGCTACCATTTTCTCGCGATCCCTCTTCTGTTCGACCCGAAGGAGCAAGATCGAGGCTGGGATCCTTCCCCTCCTGGACGCTATGGAGGTGAGCACTGCGCACGTTGTCTACTTCAGAAGTAGTGCGACGAATACTGGCGTGAATTTCAAGAACTGGCGGGTAACGAACGGGAGTCGAACCCCGGAGCGACATCGTGGCTGGGATCCTTCCCTTCCTGGACGCGTTGGAGGTGAGGTACTACGGGTGCAGTGTTCGATGCGCACAGACCCATCGTTGAGCCTTCGTCCTTTTCTGGACGCGTTGGAGGTGAGGTAGTGCGGGTGCATGGTTCGATGCGTACAGACCCATCGTTATGCCTTTGTCGGTGCAGCTGTTCTGTGCGCATGAACTCATTTTACTTGCCATAATTTCCCGTCCACCCTCCCCGCCTCCCCGCCTCCTTCCCTGATGCCTGCATGCCTTCTCTCGCCCCATCTGTGTTTTTTTTTTTCAGAATGCCTGAAAGTCTGCCGCATCGCCAGGAGCGCCTTTGCCAGCAGGAGCTGGAGCATCTCAGGTGGTGGTTCAAGGAAGCTCATCGTCCAACTCAAGGTAAGAGCAAGCTTCAGGTGAACCCTTTGAGAGGCGATGGTGATACAAGGCATCTCATAAGTGGATCAGGGCCCTTCGCATCGCCAGAAGCGGCTTCGTCAGCAGGGACTGGAGCAACTCAGGCGCTCGTACAAGGAAACTCATCGTCCTACTCAAGGTAAGAGCGAGGGAGTTGGGCAACAAGCCCACTGGCACGTTCAGAGAGCGCGACAGCCCATTACAAAGGCCAATAACAGGTCTCGTCTCGCAGCAGGAGCAGGAACATCTCAGGCGATGGTACAAGCAAGCTCATCGTCATACCCAAGATAAGAGCAAGCTCATCGTCATACCCAAGGTAAGAGCAAGCTCATCGTCATACCCAAGGTAAGAGCAAGCTCATCGTCATACCCAAGGTAAGAGCAAGCTCATCGTCATACCCAAGATAAGAGCAAGCTCATCGTCATACCCAAGATAAGAGCAAGCTCATCGTCATACCCAAGGTAAGAGCAAGCTTTCTCAGTTTAACCATGCGTGGCTGGCTCTAGCTAGGCTGACGCCAGCTGAGACGTCACCTTCAGTGGCCTACAGGGTTGGGAGATTGGCTTTTGTTCTTGCCCTTCTTGCTGCCGGCATGACTTCTCCTCTGACCTCACCCTCCGGGTATGGCCAAACGCGGAATCTCTCCCACCCAGTTCTGACGCCCTTTATGATGTAGTTTTCCTGTGGAATTCCCAAGAAATCAGGAACCCACATCTCTCCCCATCCCACCCCCTCTCACCCCCCTCCCTCCCGCCCACCTCCCTCACCCGTCTTTCTCTTCTGCCATCCTTACCTGTTTTCCAGTCCCCGTCCTCCCATCAGGCCACCAGGACGACCCTGTTGGTTCGGAGTCCCGCCGAAGCGCGGCCTCTGGCTTGGAAGCAAACCAAGCCAAGCATACTGGCCCGGGAACGTTTCTATCGGCTGGAGATCATTGGTCTGTACGAGGCATGGAGGACTTGCAGAGAGGAGCGAAGCTAGAGGAAATTGACAGAGGAAAGAAAGAAGCGCATGGGGAAGGTTCGAGGAAGAAGGGCGATGCAGGGAGGGAAGCTAGGGTAGCAGATGAGGGGAACATTTTTGAGAATTCTCAAAAACACCCTGCAAAATCAAGGGTTTTGCAAGAGGGCGAGGAAAGCGAGCAAGAGTATGATGAGAAGGAGGAGGAGGGACGGAGTTTGGAGGAGGATGGAGACGACAGAGATGGGAATAGCAAACGGATTAGCGTTACTGATGCTCTGGGGCTCGTTTCGAACCCCCGACAGGCCCGGATGAGAAGGAGATTGGCTGGAAAGGTGCCTCTCAGCGCCAAGCTTGCGAACTGTGTGCCGTGCACAAGCAGGGGGAAGAAGAGAGTGCTCATCAAAGGGAGCTGGGATGATGATGAGGAGTCGAAGCTCCAGGGCGTTCTGTCAAGGCCTGGTAGTGGGAGGGAGCAGATTGCAGGGGAGATGACGGAAGCAGACGGGGGGAACCCTAGTTTCAGGAACGATGGGCTTGATTTGGAAGGTTCGAGGAAGCTTCTGCTGGCGTCAGCGCCGTGCTGTGACCCGCTGCTGTTGAGGCTGCAGGAGCAGACGGTGGCCCTGGAGAGACTCATGGCGGAGATTGCTGAGAAACAGGTAAGGATTCAAGAATAGGTGAGGCAGACAATAAGGGGGATGAATGGAGAACCTGCGCCGTGCTGTGACCGGCCATTGGTGAAGCTACAGGAGCAGACGGTGGCCCTGGAGAGACTAATGGCGGAGATTGCTGGGAAACAGGTGAGGCAGTCTATAAGGGGGATGAATGGGGGATCAGCTCCCTGCTGGTACCCCTGCTGCTGTTGTAGCTTCCGTTTGCAGTCGATAGCTTTTGAGAGGCGCATGGAGAAAAAGGTGAGGCGTGCAGTAAAGGGGATGAATGATGAGTTGGACCTCACTGGATTAACAGGTGAGCCGTTAACCTTAAACCCTCGATATGGTCACTTCAGCTTTGTGATTTCACTGCCTGTCGAACACGTCGTTTCATTCTTTTCAGTTGAGATTTTTGGATGCTGTTTTGCTGATCCTCCTCACTGTTCTGACGCTTCCCAAAATCCGGGCCGTCCATTCCTGTCCCCCTTATTGTCTGATGCGCTATTATGGCAGGTGGAGAGCAAGAGGGTGAGCAGGGAGAAATACGTGCTGAATAAGAAGCTGAGCCGGGCCGACATCAACTGGGAGGCTGCTTTTCTTGGAAACCAGGTGAGAGAAGAGAATGTGATGTATATAACAGACATGGCATTGCACAAGTAGCGTAGTGCCCTGTTCATACAGGTAGCTGGTTCTCCCCTCCCCCGTTGTGCCCATACTCCCCCTTCCCCTCCCGTCTTCAACCATCACACTCACGACAGTGCCGCGTGCAATGGACATCGCGAAGCATGGTGTTTACCAGTCCTTAGTTCTCCCTCCCGCTCCTTCTCTTCTTCCCCCCATCCCTTTCTTCTCCCTCCTCTGCTCCCAGACCATGTACGAGGCACAGCAGACAGTGCAGCGGTGCAACGGGCATGGGATCGTGGCACGGGAGGGGACTCTAGTGTGGAAGGTGAGTGGGGGGGGGAAGGGGTAATGGGGGTGGTGGTGGGAGATCTTTATTGCCTGGGACGGTGGTGCTACGGAATATGACACTGTGGCTCGACAGGGCAAGCTAGTGTGGGAGGTGAGAGGCGAGGGGTGCGCACTCAGAGAAGGGAGTGAGGGGCAGAGTACGGTGTGTGGGAGGTGAGAGGCGAGGGGTGCGCACTCAGAGAGTGGAGTGAGGGGCAGAGTACGGTGTGTGGGAGGTGTCAGTGCTCACTACCCTAAACCGTAAACCCTCAATCTTCACCTTAATTGGCCTTCCCCCTCCTCTCCCCCCACGTTCTCTCTGAACCCCTCCCTGTCTGCATTGCCCCCTTGTCCTTTTGATCTCGATTTCCCCCTTGCTCTCGCCATCCCTACATCTCTTCCTCCCCAGGGCCACGCATGGGATGCAATGTGATGCGCCTGATGAAGCATTACGGCTGTACACGGCGTATGATGCAAGTGGGCCGTGTCCTGACGACTGGTTCGCCTCCCAGTCTCTCATTTTCGACCACCCTTCTTCCCTCGTGTCCGCCGTTTTTACCCAACAGGGCTACATATGTGATGCGTCTGATGAAGCCCTAAGGCTGTACAGAGCGTATGATGCAAGTGGGCTGTGCCCTGATGACTCGTTTGCCACCCAATTCCTTCGCCTCTGCCCCCTCCCCTCTGCCTCCCCACAGGGCTACACATGTGATGCGTCTGATGAAGCCCTGAGGCTGTACGCAGCGTATGATGCAAGTGGGCCGTGTCCTGACGACTGGTTCGCCACGCAGTCTCTCATCTTCCACCACCACTGCTTCTCGCTGCCGCAGCGGAGGTGCCTCGCTCGCACCACCAACCAGACCATAAGTGTGAGTTTCTAAGGTGCAAATATTGTTGCTCGCACCACTAATCAGACAGTCATTGTGAGCTCAGCATGTTCAGTTTCTACTACATACATAGACATGCATGTCCACTCAGTCCCTCACTTTCCACCACTGCCTCTCCCTTCTGCACCGCCTCTGCCTGGCTCACACCACCAACCAAACAACCAGTCTCAGTATTACGTGGTGTAGGATCAAACGTCAAGGGCTCAGCACCCTTCTCGTCATCGCTTTCATTCTCTTAACCCCCTTGAACCCCTTCCCCCCCCCCAAACGCCTCCCTTCCTATCTCCTTCATTCTCCCCCCTCCAGCCCCTGCCTTTCCCCCCAGCCCTTTCCAATCTGAGGGCACGAATAGATTTCGCGTTCAGTTGGCACCAGCACACCAATCTCGTCCTCCTTTGCGTGCCTCTCAATGCATGCGCCGTGGGGTGCTGCCGCCTCTGCTTCAACCTCACTCGCCCCTTCCCTCCCTCCCTCCTCCCGTCTGCTTCGTTCCACCTGTCTCCTTCCCTCCCTTCTGTCTGCTTCCCCCACCTCCAGCCAATACCATTCCCCCAGGGTCTCTTTAACCAGAGCTCTCTCATAGGCTCTGTTCTCATTTGGGACCACCACACATGCTCCTCCTTTGCGTGCCTCAATGCAAGGGTGGTGGGGGACTGCCGCCTCTGCTTCAGCCTCACTCATTCCTTCCCCCCCTCCCTTCTTCCTGCTTCCCTCCATCTGTCCCCTTCCTTCCTACCAGCCCCTACCATTCCCCCAGGCCCTCTTTAATCTGAGCGCTCTCATAGACGCAGCCCTCCTGTGGGACCACCACGCCTGCTCCTCCTTCGCCTGCCTCAATGCTCGCGTGGTGGTGGGGGGACTGCCGCCTCTGCTTCAACCTCACTCTCCCCTCTCCCCCTCCTCTCTGTTTGCTTTCCTCCCTCTCTTTTTCCTTCCCCCTCCTACCAGCCCCTACCATTCCCCCAGGCCCTCTTTAATCTGAGCGCTCTCATAGACGCAGCCCTCCTGTGGGACCGCCACGCCTGCTCCTCCTTCGCCTGCCTCAATGCAAGGGTGGTGGGCGACTGCCGCCTCTGCTTCAACCTCACTCTGGAGAGGAACCGGTGGCGCGTGCGGTATAGAGGATCGCTGACTGTAGCAGATGTGCTTAAAATGAAGAAAGGCAGCATCAGGTGAGGACGTAATGTCACGGAAGAGAAGGAGAGTTTAGTGAGATGCTCTTTTAAGAACGAGAGGCAGGCGAAGTTGTTGGCTCTGCGTCAAACTCACTCTAGAAAGGAACGGGGCGTGATATCGGGGCTCGCCGCTGACTGTAGAGGATGTGCTTGAGATGAAGAAAGGAAGCATCAGGTGAGATTTGCTTGAAGCAGAGGTAGCGTGCACAATTTCCTTTTGTTGTGAAACAGTCAGCTCTGCAGCCCACACGTGGCACTTTCCTATGTGACTTCTGAGAATTCTCAAAAATCACTTTTTTTCCCGACGACGACGTGCTTTCTGCTGTTCCCCTCCTTCCTCCTGTATTACCCTTCCCTACACACTTGGTGTGGACATACGAGGAGGCACGGGCAGCTTTGCAGCGCACACGTGGCATTTTACTATGTGACCACCACAACCTCATTCCCCTTCCCCTCGTCCCCCCTTCCCTCTTCCACCGCACTTGTTCCCTTTATACATAAAGCTCAAGCTGTTTCACGAGTTTTTACAAGCATTCAACAAAACTAACTTTCACAGGTGTCACTACATAGTTGCTGCCACGTATTGACGACAAGGCACCTAGCTCGTGTTCCACCGCACTTGTTCCCTTCATACATAAAGCTCAAGCTGCCTGCCTGTGCCTGCTCGGTGTGGACATCGAAGGAGGCACAGGCAGGCAGCTTTGCAGCGCACACATGATTGACACTCTACAATGTGACCATCCGAACAACGTGCTTCCGCTCGCCCTCCCCTCCCCGCTTTTTTAACGTCTCAGAACACGGTTCTTTGCCCCCCTCCCCGCCCCTGTTCCTCTGTAGGATTGGCGTAGACATCGACGGTGGCACGGGCAGATTTGCAGCGCATATGGCTATCTACAACTCCTCTCGTCTTCCCCTCCCTTCTCCCATATCACCCTTCCTACAGACTTGGCGTGGATATAGGAGGAGGAACGGGGAGCTTTGCTGCCCACATGGCGCTCTACAATGTGACCATCCTGACGACGGCGATGAATGTGGAAACGGTGGTGGGGCGCAAGCAGGGATTGCCGTACATGGAGGCGATTGCTCTAAGAGGGCTCATTCCGCTGCACCTGCCCCACAAGGTAGTGTGCTTGCTGCGTATGCTCAATGAGGGGCGCTTCTTGTGCTATGTGCTCGACAATGTGACCATCCTAACGACGGCAGTGAGCGTGGGGACGGTGGTGGGGCGCAAGCAGGGATTGCCATACTTGGACGCCATCGCTCTGAGAGGGCTCACTCCCCTGTATCTGCCACATAAGGTGAGCCTTCTGTCTGCTGAGTACTCCTTGTGCTCTGTGCGCTCTCCTCTACAATGTGACCATCCTGACCTAACCACACCCCAGCAGTGAATGTGGAAGCAGGGGCTGCCGTATATGGAGGCTGTTGCCTTGAGAGAGAGGGCTCATTTCCCTTCACCTGCCACGCAAGGTTGGTGCTGTATGGTCTATGTTTGTTGTCTGTGCCTTGTGACCCTCCTGACCACGGCAATGGATGTGAAGACTGTTGCGGGGGGGAAACAGGGGCTTCCCTACGTGGAGGCGATTGCCTTGAGAGGGCTGATTCCTCCGCACCTGCTGCACAAGGTGTGTTATATGTGTTGCTTGCATACTGTGCTCTCTGCTGCATGCTGCTCTGCACATGGCACTCTATGTCTCTTCTCTGCTCTCTCTCCGCCCACCCATCCCACTAGGCCCGCCTGCCGCTCTTTGACGGCACCTTGGACATCATTCACAGCGTTAACACTGTCAAATACCTCACACTCCCATTTCCTCCCCCCTCACACGCTCTCTCAGTGCCTTTCCGGTTACCTCATCCTCTCTCCCCTTATTCGCCTTCCCTCCTTTCCCTTCTCTCCCTGTCTCACCAGGCACGCCTGCCGTTCTTTGATGGCACATTGGACATCATTCACAGCGTCAACAGTGTCAAGTACCTCCCCATGCTAGAGTTTGAAGAGCTCATATTCGAGTGGGACCGCGTGTTACGAGTCGGTGAGTGTGCAACGGTGAGCTTCTATCAGGTGCATGCATAGTATTCTATGTTGCCAGCATCCCCAGGATCGACAGCATCAAGTACCTCCCCATGCTGGTTCAAAGAGCTGACCTCTGAGTGAGACCGGGTGCTGAGAGTCGGTAACTGCGCAACCGCGAGCTTCTACTTTTCTACGTCAACAGCGTGAACAGGTAAAATACCCCCCCATGCTAGAGTTTGAAGAGCTCATATTCGAGTGAGACAACGTGCTGCGAGTCGGTGAGTGTGCAACGGTGAGCTTCTATCAGGTGCATGCATACTATTCTATGTTGCTGTGTCGACAGTGTGAGCAGCGTTAAATACCTCCCCATGCTAGAGTTTGAAGAGCTCATATTCGAGTGAGACAACGTGCTGCGAGTCGGTGAGTGTGCAACGGTGAGCTTCTATCAGGTGCATGCATAGTATTCTATGTTGCTGTGTCGACAGTGTGAGCAGCGTTAAATACCTCCCCATGCTAGAGTTTGAGGAGCTCATCTTTGAGTGGGAGCGCGTGTTACGAGTCGGTGAGAGCGTATCCCTGAGCTGCCTACAAGGTGTGTAAGGTATCTATGTTCCCATTCCCTCAGTGTAATCAGTGTCAACAGTGTCAACAGTGCTGGTATCACAGTGTCGAGTACCTTCCCATGCTCGAGTTTGATGGGTTGAGTTTTTAGTGGGGCCACATGCTGAGAGTTGGTAAGATTTTTTAGGCGCCTCAAAAATCGCCTAAAAAATGAGGCGCCTAAAAAATTGATGGGTTGAGTTTTTAGAGGGGCCACATGCTGAGAGTTGGTAAGTGCTCAGCCAAGCTATCTCTGAGGACTTGTTTCGGGTTTAGGCCTACAATCCCGTTAAGGAAGGACTCCTTCATATGTGTTGCTCAAACTGCTGGCCTACGACCACCGTTCTCCCTGTCGCTCTCTCCCAGGTGGTGTGGTCTGGCTGGAGAGGAGATGATCTATGCTCCTCTAGTTCTCGGGTCGTCTCAAAAGCTGGAGATGTTTTCTATGTTCCTTTGGTCGATATGCTGGTCAATGAAGCCAAGGGGGATCACGTGTACCTGAACCACGTGCTTTCCTCTGTCTCCCGGTCTCTCCCAGGTGGTGTGGTCTGGCTCGAGATGTTTTACGCCCCGCTAGACCAGTTCCCAGACGACACGTATCTTGGAATACAATCGCCTGCGCTGGCGTGTGCTGTCCAAACCAGACCCGGGGTAGCGCAAGGGACCCCATGTGTACCTCAGCCGTATTCTGGGCTTGAATTGTCGTCTTTCCCCTGCCTCCCTACCAAATCCAGGTGGCGTCATCTGGTTGGAAATGTTCTACGCCCCTCTAGACGAGTTCCCAGTGTATGTGGCTCTCCTGAGCCTTCTATCCTACAACCGCCTGCACTGGCGCGTGCTGCCAAAGCCGGACCCGGGGGAGCGCAAGGGGCCCCATGTGTACCTGAACTGCCTTCTGGAGAAACCTGTTAGGAGGGAGGAGGGGTGGCAGGAGGAAGTGAAGAGTGGGGAAGGGGGAGAGGGGAGTAGAGAGGAGAGGGGGAGGTTGGAAGAGAAGAGAGAAGAGGGGGAGATAGAGGGAGAGAAGAGGACTGAGAAGGGTGGGAAGGCGGAATCAGGAAGTAGAGTGGAGGGGGAAGCTAAGGAAGGAAGGAGGAGCGAAGAGGCAGGGAGGGAGGAAGGAAGTACACGAGAGGGGGGGGGAAGGGAGGAAGGGAAGCGAGAGGAGGGGAGCAGAGAGGTGGGGAGAAGGGAGGAAAAAAAGAGAGAAGAGGGGAGCGTAATGGTGGGGGCGAAAGAAGAGGAGGTGAGGGAGGAACCACAGAGAAGAGAGGAGGGTGGAGTGGAGGCAGATGGGAGAGAGGAGGGGAGAGGAGGGTGGAGTGAAGACGCGGGGACGAGCATGGAGAAATTCGCGAGAGAGTGGTACAGGGAGGAAGAGGGAAGCAGGGAGGAGGGGAGTAGCAGAAGTGAGGAAGAGAAAGCCGCCCTTAAGCGCTTAGCAGCGAGGGTGCAAGAGGGGAGGGAGAGGAAGGCATGGTGGCGGTGGTTCGGCTGATGAAAGTTGAAGGAAGGAAGGAACCTCGTGCAGACGCTGCTTCTTGTGTCATGGAAACATGTCAGGGGAGAGGAGGGCGAGAAGGTGTCGGAGGGGAGAGAGAGGAAGACGTGGTGGCGGTGGTTCGGATGATGAGAGTGGGAGGAAGAAGCTGCATGCAAGAGGGGAGAGGAAACATGTCAGGGGAGAGGAGGGCGAGAATGTGCAGGAGGAGAGGGGAGGGAGAGGAAGGCATGGTGGTGGTGGTTTGGCAGATGAGGCTGGGACGCATCAGGGACCCTATATGGTGGAAAGGCAATGCCTTGCAAGAATTCTTGCATACATGTAACATGCTGAAGGCACTCAACGCATCGTTCTTCTGTGCTTGAGACTCCAGTCAGGTGAGAAGGGGCAAAGAAAAGGTGAAGGGAGGACAGAGTGCGGGAGGACAAGGAGTGGTTTAGGCAGCTTTGGTGCGGTGCTTTGAGACTCCTTAGAAAAACAACTTCGCTAGCTGTCTGGTGTTGTGGGAGCATTTTTTCCTGGGATGCCAAAGCCTTGAGGCACTGAGGCTTCTCTTGCGGTCAGTCCCCCGACCTGTTGTGATTTCGAGCATGTGCCAGCCCACTTGGAAGCAGGTGCTTGCTTGTTTGAAAGCATATGACTGTCATTGCCTCTCATGTGCTAAGGCTTGCCGAATGTAGCAATTGGTAGGGATTCGACAGGGATGAGAGAGAGGAAATGCAATACGGAGTTGATCCGTAAGAACGTAGAGTGATTGATAAGGTTATGGCAGTTCGTGAGTTAATTTGTTTCTCGTGGCTTGTGGGCACTGTGCAGGCTATCCATCTCTGGCAAACGCGAAATCAGGAGAATCATGTGGTGGGCGGGAGTCCCATAAATTGCTAGTAATTTGGTGAAGAATGAAGTCCGTTGGTGCAATGAGTGAACCTAGTTTAGTACGGCGCCCGCCAGTGTATTATCTGCTTTACAACCGGGGTTTAATGATTCAAATCAGACCTTCAGTGTGTATTTTACAAACTGTGGGACAGTCTGGCCTTTGGGAACGCGGGGGGGGGGGGGGGGGGGGAGAGAGATTCTTATTGAAGGGTGCAATTGATTATTTATATTTTTAAGCATAAACAGAATCTGCACTTTCTGGTGCTTCGGCCTTGGAGCTGGAAGGCATAACGAGCGACCCAGCAGCGGAGCGACACACACACCGAGCTCTGGTCAGTCAGTGAGCAGTGCATTTTGGTCTAGTACCAGCTTCTACATCGGTGCAGGCCACTATGGCGTGGGTCAATTGCGGATTCTGCGGGGTTTGGAACCAGTGCAATACCAAGCTAGTTTGCGTATCGTGTAACAACGTGCGCAAGGACACCGTTGATAAAGCAGCGCGAGCCGAGAGCCGAGCAGCACAGGCCGAGAGGCGAGTGAAAGATGTGGAAGCAGATGTGGCTACGCTCCGACGGAAAGTCGGCGGGATGCGAGACGCGGCGTTTTGCGATGTGACACTGCAAACATGCGATGGAGAAGCCATTGAAGCACATCGATGCATTCTCGCAGCATGGTAGTATCTTGATCTTTGGTCCTGAGCAACTTTCCTGATGTCCACTTGCGTTCCCGCCATCTTAGATCCCATGGCGATTGTTCTCTTACCGGGTTGCGCGTTTAGTGCTTTTGCAGGTCACCTGTTTTCACGACAATGTTCAGCAGTGGCTTCCTAGAAGAGACGAAGGGCGTCGTTTCAATACCAGATACGGATAGTTCTACAGTAGAGCAGCTTGTTTCGTTTATGTATCGTGGCGAGTTTCATGTAGAGAGTGCAACCATGAAGGTGAGCTGACTGAACTGAACCTTGAGCTTACTTAGCCTGAAGCTATCAATGGCTGCGACGCTGCAGCCTGCTTTCCCTTTTTTGCCACGTAACCCTGCCAACAGCTGTGCTTTTGTCTTCAAGCCCTCCCTGTTTCTGTGGTGCAGGAGATCAAGCTACTCGTGGCAGCAGATAAGTATGAAGTTATGGAGCTGAAGGAGCATCTGGGCTCGAGTCTTTGCAAACACTTGAACGATGAAATCGTGTTTGAGTCATTGAAAGTAGCTGATATGCACGGTGTGCCTCCACTGCGGCAAGCTTCTGCTGACTACATACTCAGCAAAATGGACCGGGCAGCAAGTGCCGTAGTTTTAAAGGTAACTTCAACAGGCACCATTTACCCTAGAAGAAACCCAGTAGAGGGGGTATGTTATTGCGAGTGGATTACTGTGCGTATACCTTTACTTGCGTGCAGGATATGTTGTTTGGAAAAGACATGGAAGGCAAGAAATTGGCAGCTGAGCTATTTGAGAGGGGATGGCTCAACAACAAATGAGATGCACGCCTCAGTACTATACAGGCCAGTTGCAGAGTTGGCCTACATACTAGCTGGCTGGACACATTTGAATTATTTTTGGCAAAGCAGTACCATGCCCTGCTTGTGTCTTTTGATCTACAGTACTGGTATGCTATCCATTGTGCATGTGCCTGTGTGGACTGTTTACAATGGCATCTGGCATGTCATTGCAAGCAACGACCCCAACAAAAATCTCTAAAGCTTGAGGCTCATTGTTAGGTAGTTGTGCTACAGGTCCTTCGTTGCGTGCGTAATGCATAATGCACAGGCTTGCACCGGATTTTGAGGAGAACCCTCGCACTAAAGGGGGACGTATGGCCGCCATTGTACCCATAGTGTTGGTGGCACTCTAGTGGGAGGGAGAAATAGTGGTGTTTCACTTGCAACTTGAAAGTGTGATATGGTGCCACTCTTCCCAAACATGGGAGAGATGTGTGATATTTCCATACCACACCATATCGGCAGGCTAACTAGTAGCGAGCCTGCTTGTGGTAAGGTAGGGTACTCGGACTTTGATTGGCCTACAAACATCGAAGGTTATTGGTCGAGTGCTAGTGACGTGGAATTGCACGCGAATCAGGGGCACTAGGTGGTGGTGGCGACTGTGGAACATGACTCACACGGACCAAAGCCCTGTCTTAGCCAGCGTGGATTTTCGTGTGTCTAGTAACACACAGCTGACACCCAATCACCCGAAAACGTGGTGAGAGTGACCCTTCATTTTCTGAGAAGGTATGACTAGACTCTATCCTGAGTTTTCACTGGATAGATCAGGTTCGTGTCGCCAGCCGCCCCTGATCTTATGGCTCTCGTTGGCTGATCAAAGGTTACCACACTCGCTTCGACCACTCGCCTGATTGGCCAGATGGCCGCGCTCGTGCCGTGAACGCCACATAATTTATCTACTGCTCCGTTCTTCCCCCTCCCTTGCCCCTTACCGCGCCAACTGGAACCAGGATGCGGGTTGTGTGAGCCATGACTGGGCTGGAGGCTGAACCTTCCGCCTGGAACCCAGCTTTCTGCTGGCCGAGCGCACAGGCGGAGGACCGCGGTCCACGTCAGTTCACTCCCCCCAGCTTCCCCAGCCGCCAGGGGTCATTCCCCCCCAGTCCTCGCGCGAACACTCGTGTGGCGCTGCAGCTGCTCCAGTTCCCGCGCTTCTCTTCCGGACTTGCACTCTGGTTGTCCTCCTGCCCTGGCAGTGCTGCTGTGGTTCGAATCGAGCGAGGCTCGATATTGTAGAATGCGCCTCCGCCGCACCCAATTTGCGGAGGTTGTTGGTCAGACAGGCGAAACCTTCCCCCGCCCCTTTCTCGCACCCACCCCAATGTGGCCCGCCCGTTTCCGCCCTCTCCCTCCCCTTCCCCCCCCCTTCCCCCCTCCGAGAAATTTCCCCCATCGTTCCCCTGGTCGTGGATTTTTTCCGACCATGGATTGAACGTCTAATCAATCATAGCTGTGGTGTGGTATATATTGCCCCGCACCTCTCTCCTTCTCCAGTACTGCTAATTATTTCCTAGCCAGCCAAGTACCGATCACCGCACCTATCCTTCGTTCCAGCTTTAGAGCCTACCATTCCCGTTCTTCGTGTCGCGTTCAGTCATCTTCTGTGTACATATCACCTGAGAGGCTTCGCCACTCGATATCGTTTCCAACAGAATCAAACCAGACTCTCCGACAACCGAACACGACCAATCATGGCTCTTACCGCTGGAACGACGACAGCATGCCTGTCAACCGTGCGCGCGCTTAGCAGCGCTACCGCCACGTCAGCCACCACGTCAGGGGCTTCCTACGGCACCAGCTCGCGACAGCTGTACGTGTCGCAGGGCTCGCCTCTCGGGCTGCCACGTGGCGACGCCTCCGTAGTATCCGCGATGATCGGAATGAGGCTAGGATCAGCTCGCACTTTTTCGTCGAACTTCGCTAACTTCGAACAAAGGGGATCGCCGGCGCTTCAGCACTCCATTCGTCGCCGACAAACTCAGTTCCAGGGGCAAAGCCAGCGAGTTCCCCGGAGTTTACGGCGGGAGGTGCGGGCAGCCGTCGCAGACGACAGATCCGCCGGCTCAGCAGAGAAAGCGGAGGATGCCGCCCCGGCAGCTCCTCCCGCGTCTCGAAGCGGCGGCGGCACCATCCTCGGTGCAGTCACGCTCATTATTGGCTCGTCCGTCGGCGCGGGCGTGCTCGCTCTGCCGTCCGAAACTGCCCCTGCGGTAAGAACCGAAGCGGCGATCCAGTACTCCTGGGGTGTGCGACTGAGGGTTGGAGACGGGGGGAGGCGGGATGCGGGGGTGGTTGAGCTGGTGAGGTGGAATGCGATAGAAAGCTGAGTCTCCCTTCTGCCCTGCTGCTAGCTCTATCTCGCTATGTCTTTTGCCTTTGACTAATGCCTCTTTCTTCGTACTCCCCGTTTCTCCGTCCGTTCCTTCTCAGGGTTTTTTCCCCTCGTCAACGGTCCTCATCGGCTGCTGGGCCTTCCTCGTCCTCCAGGCGCTGCTCCTTGCCGAAGTGAACGTCGCGCTCCTCAAGGAGCGATCCGAAAAGAGCAACCCCGCTAACGCGTCGTCGTCCTCCTCCGCAGCCGAGGCTGAGCGAGGCTCGGACGTCCTTTCGTACCGAACCATGGCCGAGGCGACGCTCGGACCGCTGGGCGGCACGATCGCGACCGCGGCGTACGTTTTTTTGTCGTTTACGCTGATGGTGGCATATTTCGCAAAGGGCGGCGAAGTGATGTCGATGGGGACGGACCTGCCCCGTTGGATCGGTGCAACGGGGTTCGCAGTGGTGCTCGGCGGTCTGATCTACGGCGGAAACACGCGCACCGCTGACCTCGTCAACCGCGCTCTGACCGCCGCGCTGCTCGGTATCTTCGCTGCGCTCGTGTGCGGAGGCTCCACGCTGGCCGACTGGGATGAGCTGGCAGTCGCGGATTGGTCCGCCATGTCGTCAACTCTCCCCGTCATCTTCCTCTCGCTCGTCTTCCACGACCTCGTGCCCGTGCTCTGCGCGTACCTGGACGCGGACCTCCCGCGCATCCGCACCGCGCTGCTCGTCGGCAGCTCGGTCCCCCTCGCCATGTTTCTCACCTGGGACGCCATCGTCCTCTCCATCTCGCCTTCCTCCATCGCCGCCGCCGGCGCCGCCGGAGCCGCCGCGGCCGGCGCAACCGCCGGAGACCTTTCCTCGTCCGTCCTGTCCTCCCTTTCCGCAGTCTCCTCGTCCTTCTCCCACCTAGCCGCGACCTTTCCGGTGGCCCTATCGACCGCGCTTTCCACTCCCGCGCTCCCCGCGTCCCTGCTCTCGTTTCCCGCGCAGGACCCCTTTCAGCTGTTCATGCACCAGGCCACGCCGCTCCAATCAGCGGCCGTCCTCGCATTCTCGTTCCTAGCCGTTGCCACGTCATTCCTCGGCTCCTCCCTCGCCCTATCGGAGTTCTACATGGAGCAGATTGGAAACATGGTTTTTGGCGGGAAACCCGCCGAGGCCAAAGCGGAGAATCCGAACCAGGGGCAGCAGGAGGGTGCGATTAACGGTGGTGACATTAAGGAGGCCGGGTTAGGGTTCGTTCGGTCGCATGTGAGGGAGGTTGGGTTCCTCCTAGCCCTCTGCCCGCCGCTGGCGGTGGCGTTAGCCAACCCGGGCGCGTTTGTGGCGGCGAGCAAGGCGGCCGGCGCGTATGGCATGACCGTTCTTTACGGGATCCTGCCTCCCCTCATGTTCTACGTGCATCACAAGCAGCAGGCGGAGAAAGAAGCCAAGGCGTCTGATTCGGCAGGAGGTTCGATTTGGGTGCAGCCAGGTGGCAGCTTCGCGTTGGCCAGCTTGGGTGGCCTATCGTGCGCGGTGATTGCGGGTCAGGCAATGATTGACGCATCTCTGCTCTCCCCGAGCTCGATCGCTTCTCAGCCATCGATTATCTTGGCTCAAGGCGATATCGCCTCAATGAACGGTGATCGTGAGGCCTCGGCTGATATCCCTTCTAGAAGCCAACTCACTATGGCGACAATCCGAAGCCCTGTCGCCACTGGGACCATCGAACCTCCCCTGGTTTACGCCAGTCAATCCCTTGCTGCCAGCTGCCTGACCGCCCCTCCCACCTCAGATTTCCAGCACGAGGCTTTCTTGGACCTTCGCGAATCTGCGTCGACGAACCCTTTGCTGGCGCCGTTACCCGTTTCGCACACTACGCCATGCCTGAAGTTCACCAAGGGGAATCTCGAGGTGTTCGATTCGGCACAGGAAACCCTGATAGTGGACATTTAGGGTTAAGTGCGAGAGGCGGGTGCACAACTGCCTTGTAAGAGGCGTTGTGAAAGGCTGCTGCTGTGCTTGTACAGGCGTAGGATGTGAGCTTTTAGGGGTTAGCATTGCAGTGCTCTTATAGAAACCCATTGAATGCATGTACATAATCCATTTCATGATAATTTCATGTTTCTTCTAGATGCTTCAGAGAAGGACTGCAATCCGAGCAACATAAGTCAATCAAGTTAAATTAAATACATACTTAGCAAACCTTGTGACAAGCACCTACTAAATCACCCGTCTAAAAAAAATACTGAACTTGCGAAATGCCTCTATTACCAACAAAACTTGCAAGCAGGGCATAAAATAAGGGAGAGGAGAAGAGACGCACTAAAAGCTGCAACATGATGACATGTGCTGTATCATATCTCAACCACACTCGTTTCGTCCAGCAGAGGTTGACACAGATCTGACGTGTCAGGAGCAGATTGGCTGGCATACACCAAATGGGGGTTGACCGCATGGCCCCTGGAAGCAACAGCAGCAGGACTCGTAACTACTGCTGCAGCAACAGTGCACAAATTGCTGCTGTTGCTGCTGCTGCTGCTGATGCTCTCGTCGTTGTCGCCGCTGCTATCCCCGAGAGAGTCACACTGCGCGCTGCTATCTGGTAGCGAGTCGCTCTGTGCGAGGACGATCGAGCCTGCTTCCAAGGTTGACGGAGAAGAGAAGAAAGAGGCGTCCAGCACAGCCTGCCCTGCGATCACGGAGAAGGCGCATGCTCCCATGCTCGCCAGGGCGAAGCTTCCTCCGGGCTCCAGCCACCGGTGGTGCTTGGAGCAGTCGCGTGTTGTAGGATCACACGCCAGTGCCTCCTGTTTGTGGTGAGCGGAGAACATTGGGGAGGGGGAATGGAGGCGAACGAAGGGGCGGGGATGGGGAATGGAGGTGGCATGCAGCCAGGTTGGATTTCAAAGCTGGCGAAGAGAAGAAAGAGGCGTCCAGCACAGCCTGGCCTGCGATCACAGAGAAGGCGCATGCCCCCATGCCCGCCAGAGCGAAACTCCCACCCGGCTCCAGCCACCGTTGGTGCTTGGAACAGTCCCGTGTTGTGGGATCACACGCCAGTGCCTCCTGCGAGTTGGGGTTGGGTGCGGTTGGGTTGGGTGGGGTTGGGTGGGGTTGGGTGGGGTTGGGTGGGGTTAGGTGGGGTTCGTGGGATGTAAAACGTGAGCCAAGGCTCCAGCCACCGTTGGCGCTTGGAACAGTCCGGTGTTGTGGGATCACACACCAATGCCTCCTGCAAGTTGGGGTTAGGGTTGGGTGGGGTTGGATGGGGTTGGATGGGGTTGGAAGGGTGTAAAACGTGAGCCAAGGCTCCAGCCACCGGTGGCGCTTGGAGCAATCTTGTGTTGTGGGATCACATGCCAGAGCCTCCTGTTTGCGGTGAGCGTTGGGGGGAGTGTGCAGGGGAGGGGGGATGCGGTCAGGTTAGTCTTCAAAGCTCCCTCCTGGCTCCAGCCACCGGTGGTGCTTGGAGCAGTCGTGTGTTGTGGGATCACATGCTAGTGCCTCCTGTTTGCGGTGCGCGTAGAACATTGAGAGAAAGAAGGGGGCGGGGATGGGGAGTGGAGGTGGACAGAGAGCCAGAGAGCCAGCAGGAACCCAACCTGAATATCCTCACACTCAGGTGTACTTTGAGCCGACTCAAAATACACCTGAATATCCTTGCACTCATTCAAACTGACCTGCTTATGGTGTGCGTAGAACATGAGCGGCGGCATGATGCCGTAAAGCACTGTCATGCTGTAAGCGCCGGCTACTTTACTCGCCGCCACAAACGCGCCTGGGTTCGCCAGAGCCACCAGCAGCGGCGGGCAGAGGGCCAGAGAGCCAGCAGGAACCCCACCTGAATATCCTCAGACTCACCTGCTTATGGTGTGCGTAGAACATGAGCGGCGGCATGATTCCGTACAGCACCGTCATGCCGTATGCGCCGGCAGCTTTACTCGCCGCCACAAACGCCCCCGGGTTCGCCAGAGCCACCAGCAGCGGCGGGCAGAGGGCCAGCAGGAACCCCGCCTCCCTCACATGCGACCGCACCCAGTCCAACCCGGTGATTAGGGGAGAAGATGTGTGGCCCGTGGTGCCAATGCCGCCAGTGGTGTCAGTGACGCCAGCACCTCCCCTATCATCGCTACAGTCATCCTCCTTATAAGCAGCTTCACTTCTGTTGAGCACCAGCAGACCCAGCTGCTCCATATAAAACTCAGCTAGGGCTAGAGACGTGCCGAGAAACGAGGTAGCCACGGCTAAGAAGGAGAAGGTGAGAACTATGGAGGATTGGAGGGGGGTACCTTGGAGGAGGAGGAGGCTGAGGGGGTCCTGGAAGGGCGAGGAGAGGAGGGAGTGAGGGAGTGAGTGAGGGAGGGGGGGAGTGGAGAGGGCGGTTGAGAGGGAGGAGGGGAGGGAGGAGGCGAGGTGGGAGAGGGAGGTGGAGAGAGACGAGAGCAAGGAGGAGAGGGAGGAGGAGAAAGTAGTAGCAGCAGCACCAGCAGCAGTGGCAGAAGTGAGAGTGGAAGGAGAGATGGAGAGTGAAATTCCATCCCACACTAGAAACATGGACAGGGGAGCAGCACTCCCCATCACGATTGCCGCCCGAATCTTTCCCAGATTCGCGTCTAGATACGTGCAGATCACGGGAATCAAATCGTGGAAGACCAGCGCGAGAAAGATCACGGGCAGAGTGGTCGGCATTTCCGACCAATCAGCAACTGCCAGCTCATCCCAGTCCGCGATGGCCGCCCCTCCACACACCAGCAGGGTAAATATCCCCAGCAAACCTGCTGTCAATACCCGGTTTATTATATCAGCTGTTCTGGTGCTGCCACTGTAGATAAAACCTCCCAGCACCGCAAAGAACCCCACTGCACCCACCCAGTTGGGTAGGCCAGTGCCAAAAGCTAATACTTCCCCTCCTTTAGCGAAATATGCGATTATAAGGGTGAATGATAGAAACACGTATGCTAGTGTAGCTACAGTGCCGCCCACCGGACCTAGCGTTGCCTCGGCCATGGTTCGGTAGGACAGGACGTCCGAGCCTCGCTCAGGCTCGGAATCCGAAGCAACAGCTCCGGAGCTACTGCTGCTGCTGCTGGTGCCGCCGCTACTGCTGCTGCTGCTGCTGCTGCTACTAGCGGTGGTGACAGCACTACTACCAGCAGCCGACCGTTCCTTGAGCAAAGCTACGTTGACTTCGGCTAGCAGTAAGGCCTCGAGGCACAGGAAGGCCCAACAGGCTATTAGCACGAACGACGAGGGGAAAACACCCTGAGAAAACACATTGGGGGAGGGGGGAGGGGGGGGCGGGGAATAACGCGTGTGAGCGTGCCTGCAAAAGTAAATGTTTCGTTAGTGTCAACTCCGTGTTAGGAATCAGGACGCACATGAACCTTATAACGCATCAGATAAAGCTAGAGAACCAGCAAGAGCTCGATCTCTCCCTTTCCTCCGCAACTTCCTCCCACCGCTCCCCTCCCTTCTCTCCCCTCCTCCCCCCCCTCTCTCCCCTCCCCCCTCTCCCCTCCCCCCTCTCCCCTCCCCCCTCGCCCCTCCCCCCTCGCCCCTCCCCCCTCGCCCCTCCCCCCTCCCCCCCGCAACCCTGCTCTGTGCCCCACCCCCCAAAAACCCCCCGTTATAGTCTCACCGCGGGAGCAGTTTCCGAAGGCAGCGCGAGCACGCCCGCGCCGACGGAGGTGCCTATAATGAGCGCCACGGCACCGAGAATCGTGCCGCCCCCGCTTCTAGAACTCGAGGCTGCTTCGTTAGCAGGTGGAACCACCGCCGCGTTACAAGCAGCTCCGTTTGCTGGTGTGTCCGAATGTGAATCTACCGAAGGCTGACTAAGACCACCGTCGTTCTTATCGAAGCCGACGGGTACTATCACAACTCTCCCGGTTTCGTTAGTATCACCTGGCTCCTCCCCGCGCTCCCCTGCCCCAGACCCACCCGTCTCGTCACGAGCACACATCGCCACGTGTCTGCCCCAGCGCGTCGTCCGCCGCGATTCGCGGCGCAAATACCAAGTTTGGCTGCCTCGGGATTCTCCAAGCGCCGCACGAGCCATCGGAAACCTCAATGCCGTATTCCCCGCCGCATTCCCCGCCGTATTCCCCGCGGGCGCGACGTCGTCGCCACGTGGCAGGCTCAGCGACAAGCTGGGCGACAGTCGCAGCTCCGGCGTGGTGTCGCAAACGCATCCCGGCGTCGTTCGCAGCAGTCGCAGCGAGCCGTCGACTCGGCATCGGCTGCCGGCGCTCTTCACGATCCCCTGCCGCGGCGCAACCTGAGCTTCTGCGGCTGACGAAGACCGCAACCCTTCGACCCCGCATCGGCTGCCGGTGGTCGGCCGCACTGAGTGAGCCATCGCAGAGCCCGCCTTTCCTAATGAGTCATTGGCTCGCCATCGGCTGCCGGCGCTTTTCACGATCCCCTGCCGCGGCGCATCCCAGCGAGCTCCCACCGGGGTTACGGTGGGCAACCGCACTGAGTGCGCCATCGCGGCGTTTTCTAACGACTCGACTCAAAAGTCACCTCGTTACGAAGCCTTGCGCGGAGCTAGCACTAGTAGGCGATTCGAGTTGTCTTCGCACAGCTTCGCACACCTGGCCTCGGGAGTCGACTGGAGTCAGCTAGCGCGAAAGCTGATCCACGCGCGAGAGCTGCGAATCTCGAAGGGCGCGTGCCACGTGCAGAGGAGGGCCTCAGCTAACCAGGCTCCAAACGGGGAAGTCTTCTCACACGAGTCCTTGCGCGCATCTAGTAGGCGATGGAGTAGGCTTCGCACAGCTTCGCACACCAGGCCACGGGAGTCGACTAAAGCCAGCGAGCTGCGCGACAGCTGAGAGAGCTGCGAATTTCTAAGGGCGAGAGCAACGTGCAGAAGAGTGGGGGTCTCAGCTTCGTAAGAGGAAATTGTGCCACGATGAGTAAGGAAAGGAAACTCAAAAGTTTGGAAAGGAGTGCTGGGGGATGGACGAGAGCGGGAGTGGAGGGACGCACGTATTGCAGCCTCGCCGTCATTACCTCGACGAAACCGTACCCAAACTTTCTTGATCTCAAGATAAATTCTAAATATATTTAATTACCGTACTCAACCGTTTTCAAGTGAACTTGTAGACCTATAGAAGCCTTTGGTTGACGGGGGTTGCGGCAGTCAGCGAAACGAGATGGCGGGAGCGCGGCGGCGGCTGACGACGAGCGAACGAACCAGCGGGAAGGGACTAGCCGGGAAGGATTTAGCGAATCAGCGACCTCGAAGCGGCGTGTCGACCAGAGCACAAGGGCCAAATGTTGCTGACAGGGACACTCGAAATCGGATCAATTACGATCAGTTTCAGCACGAGCTCCTGCCCCAAACGAGAAACCCATTGGCAGAGCTTCGCATGGGTAACCATTGAAGGGTAAGCAACTCCCACGTTCCCGCAGAGATGCACGCGCAGACACGAGTTTCCACGTCATGACCAGCTACAGAAAATCACGCTTCAACAATTCCACGGCTCTCCATCCGATAAAGCTGGCCTACTCAGCACGCGAGCAGATCTGAAATATCCATGTCAGGCTGCCGTGGCAGGACGCGAAGGACGCTCACGGCTCTCACGAGAGCTTATTTTGCCCACGTTGCACTATGATACTTTAGTTTAGTTTTGAAATATTTACTGGAGGACTAGACCTTCGTCCTTCGGGACATCCGTTAAAATTGGAACGATACAGAGAAGATTAGCATGGCCCCTGCGCAAGGATGACACGCACAAGTCGAGAAATGGTCCAAATTTTTTGGCAACCTGGCACCCCGGCTCACTCTCGTGGCCCTCCCTCCTTTTCCCTTCGTTTCTGGAACAAAATCAGCAGTTTGTTCCCCCCCAAACATGTGCATTTTTCTCCAGTCCAATCCGTTTGCTTCTCTATTCATGCCCACACCATTGATGTATGTTTCAGAACGTGGCAAGAAAATTCCAGAACATAGGAAGCACTCTGTTTGAAAGCAACAAACCGTCAAACTTGTAAGACAGAACAAGCTTGGTAGAAGGCTGAAGCAAACGCAAATCAGTAGGAACAGTATTGCTTGCTTCATGGCACAGGGGGTACAGTAGATAAAATTCTTTCTACACGTCTTCTCGTTTCGTGGCCATTGCCAGGTAGTGTGAAACACCCATACAACACAACAACAGCACCCGCGACCAATTCCTTGTCGATCCTCCAACCATCACTCATCGAGCCTTCTGCTGCCTCTGTCCTCTCCTCACCTTGCTTGCTGGGACGCTGCAGCTACTGCCATCGCTGTTGCTGCTGCTGCAACTGAAACTACCATGCTATTTCTGGTCACTCATCGATCCTCTGCCTTTGTCTAGGGGGGCTTCTGCCGCCTCTGTCCTCTCCTCGCTTGCTGGGATGCTGCAGCCACTGCCATCACTGCTGCTGCTGCTGCTGCTGCTGCTGCCGCAGCTGCAACTGCCGTGCCAGTTCTCATCACTCATCGATCCTCTGCCTTCGTCTAGGGGGGCTTCTATCCCCTCTGTCCTCCCCTCGCCTCGCTTGCTGGGACGCTGCAGCCACTGCCATTGCTGCTGCTGCTGCAGCTGCCGCTGCAGCAGCAGCTGCTGTTGGTGTGGGTGCTGTGGCTGCTGCTCCGCCCCTCCCCCCACCACCACCCCCTCCTCTTCCTCCACTTGCTCCTCTCCCCTCTCCACCCCTCCCTCTTCCTCCTAACCCCACTCTACCCCCTCTTCCACCTCTCCCTCCCCTCATCCCTCCCCCTTCCGCCCTGAAAAATTCGTCCCTCCCCATACCCCTCCCTTCGCCTCCCCCCCCGCCTCTGCCTCCCCCTCTTCCTCCCCCTCGACCCTCCCTTCCCATTCCCCCTCCTACATGCCCCGGATCTTCTACCGGACCTCCCTGCCACCGAACCTGCGGTGGAGGCATGGGTTCGTTCAGGCCAGCTGCCATGCCTCGGGAGGGAGGCTCGGAGAAACCGTGCCTCTCCTCACCACCACGCTCGAAGAATTCCTGTCTTCCCAAGCCTGGAGGCCCGGAAAAGCCTTGCCTTCCCGGACCTGACGGCTCGGAGAATCCCTGCCTTCCCGGACCAGACGGCTTGGGAAAGTGAGGGGGAGGGTTGTAGTTGGGGTTGTGTCGTGGAGGTGGTATGTGGGGGAGGTTGTGCTGCTCGTGCTGCCCAGGAAACTGAGGGCGAGAGGAGGGAGGAGGGTGGTCTTGAAACGACTGCCTATCAGGCATGCCATGATGGGCGGAAGGTGCCATGGGGGGGCCGGAAGGATTATGACTGGGATGGTTGGGAGGGAAGGAGAGGCGGTGAGAGAGGGGGTGGGAGGGAGGGTGCGAGGGAGGATGGGAAGGAGGGTGAGAGGGAGGGTGGGAGGAGGAGAGGGGGGGAGGAAGGGATGAGAATTGCGGGGCTGTGTGTGGGAAAGGGGGGTCATGGAGGGGTGGCATGGGATGGGGCGGAAGGGAGCCCTCGCGAGACGGCTCAGGCACGGAGTGTTGAAAGTGTGGTGGTGGTGATGGTTGGTTGCGAGCGGCAGCAGTGTGTGGGTTATGGGGGTTGTGGGAGGGATGGGGTGCGGTTCTAGGGGATGGATCTGGGTGCTGCTGGAAGCGTGGTGGCGGTGGTGATGCTTGGGTGCGAGGGTGGGGGGAGGGGGAGGGCGAGGGGCGCTGATTCCCCAGGCGGCCTTGGGGGGCATGGGGGGGTTGTGGGGGGGATGGGGGGGATGGGGGCCGTGGGGTGTGGATAGAGGGGAAGGGTGTGGGGGATGGGGGGATGGGTGTGGGAGCATGTGCGGCGGAGGGTGAGGGGATGGGTGAGGGGACGGGTGCGGTGGGCCTTGGGGAGGGGGGTGGGGTGGGGCGTGGGGAGAATGAGTTGGGGGACCGTGGGGGGGACCATGAGGTCCGGAGTGAGGTCCGGCATGTGGTCCGGCGTAAGGTCCGGCGTGAGGTCCGGCGTGTGGTCCGGAATGTGGTCCGGCAGAGACGGACTGCCAGTCAGCGTCGGGAAAGGCAGCAGTTAGCTGTTGGAAGAAGATGCGGAGAAAGTGATGCAGCTCCAGTGATAACTGCAACATAAAAAAGCAGTTAAAAAAGCAAGGGGAGAGGGAGCACAAGGAGGAGGGGGAGAGGGAGCACAAGGAGGAGGGGGAGAGGGAGAACAGAGGAGGGAATGAGGGAACAAGGGGCAGCAACGGGAAATGCAGCGGTGAGCTGTTGGAAGAAGATGCGGAGAAAGTGATGCAGCTCCGCTGATAACTGCGTGCAGTGAACACGAAGGAAGGAGAGAAATGGGAGGGAGGAGAGAGATGGGAGGGAGGAGAGAGATAGCAGGGAGGTAGAGAGGGAGAGGAGGAGAGATGAGGGGGATGATCGGACGGCAGCAGCTAGCTGTTGGAAGAAGATGCGGAGAAAGTGATGCAGCTCCGCTGATAACTGCAACGTAGCGACCAATGCAGAAAATACAAAAGAGGGAGGGAAGGGAGGGAGAAACGTGAAGGTGGGGAGGTGAGGCTGGAAGGCAGCGGCTGGCTGGTTGAAGAAGATGGGGAGGAAATGAGAGAGCTCTACTGAGAGCTGGGGTACACGTGCAGGTGAAACAAAAGAGAGGGGTCAGAGGAGAGGGTTGGCGAACGAGAGAGGGGAGATCGGAAGGCAGCGGCTGGCTGGTGGAAGAAGATGGGGAGCAGATGAGAGCGTTGCAGTGAGAGGTGGGGTGTGGGAAACTGCACTCCCAAGCGGTCCTTTGCATTCAAGCTCCACTCTCTTTCTCTCCTCACCTCTCTCAAGGGGTGCTTAGATTGCTGAAACCTGGGTGCACGCTAGGCAAGCAAGGCAGGTACAAGCAAGGCAGGTACAAGCAAGGCAGGTACAAGCAAGGCAAGCGTCGGTACTTTGGGTTCCGAGCTCCACTCTACTTCTCTTCTCATGTCCCTGGTGCCTTTATGCCATTGCAAGCACCCCTCCACAACCCTCCGCACATCCCCAAACACCTGCACCACCCGACTGATACCCCCACGAAAACAATCTCGCCCTTACATTGACTGCACCTTGCTATGTTCAGGGGCTCGCAGGTGGATCGGCGTGGGAAAGGGGGCCTGGTTTCCTCCTGGGATCTCCTTAAAGCCCCAAAAAAAAAAAAAAAACCTTGCTATGTTGAGCAGACCCCCCCCCCCCTTCCCCCCCTACCCCCCCTCCTCCTTCCCCCCACCCCTCCCCCCCCCCCTTCTCACCTCTCTGGTGCCCTTGTGCCAGCGCAAGTACCCCTCCACAACCCTCCGCACATCTTCAAACACCTGCACCACCGACTGGTAACCCCCCGAAAACAACCTTTCCTCCACCCCCCCCATCATCATCCCCATCCCCTCCATCTCCCCTCCTCCCCTCCCTCCTCCTGCTCCTCCCCCTCCTCTCCCTCCTCCCCCCCTTCCTCCCGCCCCTCCTGGCCCCCCACTCCTCCCGCCGTCTCTAGTTGTTGCTGAGCTGTCTTGCAGGTATTCGCCGATCCTCTGGCCTCTGCTATCTAGGGAGGCGTTGAACTGCATGAGCATGTCGGCGCATTTCCGAACCACAGGTCCGGCCGGAGGTCCAGCAGCAGGTGGAGGCCCGGGGCGAGGAGGTCCAGCGGAATGCATAGGTCCAGTGGAATGCATAGGTCCCCCAGAGTGCATAGCTCCGGTAGGAGGTCCGGGGGGGAGAGGGTGGCCAGAAGAATGCCTTGGTCCGGTGGGATGCACAGGTCCGGCCGAACCAGAAATAGGTCCGGAGGATGGAGCAGGCAGGGAAGAAGGGTGAGAGGAAGTGGGAGCGTGAAAGGGATGCTGATGTGGTAGAGGTGGGGGAGGAGGATGAGGAACCCCCATTCCTGGACCCCCCAACCCTGAATGTGATCCAGAGCCTGCTGCCGAACCTGTGGCTTCTACCTGCCGTTTCATCCCCCTTCCTTCCTCCCTCATCCCTCCTCCCCCACCCCTCATCCCCCCTCCATCCCCCATGCCTGAGCCGGCATGTGATGCTGCTGGTGTGGAGAATCTACCTCCTCCACCATCTGTCCCCCCTTCCGAACTTGACCTGAAGCCCGGAGGGCCGCCGAACCTGTCTTCCCGAACCTCGTTCCCACCGGACCTGTCTCCCCACTCCTCACCCTCACCGAACCTCTCAGGCCGAACCTCACTGACTCCAAACCTGTCTCTCTCTTCTCTCCTTTGGAATCCCGTTGGTGGTGAAACCCCCCTTCCACCGACCTCTCCCCCTCTTCCCCCTCCTCTCCCCTCGAGCCTCTCTCTGCCACTTTGCCCTCCTCTCCCCATTCCCTCCCTTCCTCCCCCTCTCCCTCTTCCCCTCCCTTCCCTCCCTCCGTCCCTCCCCCTTCCTCTTCCTCTGCCTTCACCACTTCCCACCGCACTCAACCGCACTGCACTCTCTGGCGGTGGCCCTGGCGGCGGGGGTGGAGGCGGCAGGAACCGAGGAGACCCGACACCAGAACCAGATCCCGGGCTCCTCAAATCAAGGAGGCCAAAACTAGAGCCGGAAACGTCAGTCGTAGCGCGAGACAAGAGGCCCAGTGGTGGTGGTGGTGGAGGTGGTGGTAGTGGTAGAGATTGCGATGATGGCAGACCAAACCTGTCACTCCCACTTCTGTGACTGGAATCCGTTTCTCCCTCTCTACCCATTACTTTCTCCTCCTGCACCTTCCAAACCCATTTTCGGCCTCCACCATCCGATGGTCGCTCACTCTCTCCCCCTCTTTCCTCTCTTATCCCCTGCCTGTTCTCTCCTCTCCTGTCAATGCTTCTCTGACCCCCATGCCTTCTGCTCCTCTCCTTCATCTCCCCTTCCTCCCCCCTCTCCCCTTCTTCCATTCCCCCCTCCCGTCCCTCCTGTCTGGCCCATCCCCCTCTGTCCTCTCCCTCCTCCCACTCACCCCCCCCACCGCCTTCCCACTCCCCTTCCTCCGCCTCCCCTTCCTCCACCTCCCCACCTCTCTCACTCTGCCCCGTCCACACTCCCCCTTCGAACTTTCTTGTTTCTCCCCCCTCACCTCCTCTTCTCTCTCCCCCCTCACTTTCTCTCCTCCCTCCTAATCCCTCACCCCGCCGGCGCTCCTTGTACAGAGCGTCTTTAACTACCTCCATGGGAGAAGCTATAGCCACCCGCCCTCTATCACCCTCCTTCCCTCCTCTCTCCTCCTCCACCTTCTCCCGTCCCTCCCCCTCTCGCCTTAGCACGCCCTCCTTTTCTCCTCTCCCCCTCCCCTCCTCCCGTCCCTCCCCCTCTCGCCTTAGCACGCCCTCCTTTTCTCCTCTCCCCCTCCCCTCCTCCCGTCCCTCCCCCTCTCGCCTTAGCACGCCCTCCTTTTCTCCTCTCCCCCTCCCCTCCTCCCGTCCCTCCCCTCGTCCCTTCGAGTCTTGTCTTGGAAAGAACTCATCACTCCTCCGTGTCCTCCCTTCCACTCCCTCTCCTCCCCTTTCTTGCTTCCTTTCCCCTCCCCTTTCTTGCTCCTCATGCTTCTCCCCTTCTCCCCCTCTTCTCCTGCGTTCTACACTACCTCCCACCCCCCCCTCTTCCCTGCTCTTTTCTCTCTCACTCCACCGCCCTTTCCCATCTCTGTTCCCCTCACCACTAACTCGCCCTCCCTTCTCCTCCCTTTGCTCGCTCTCCCTCCTCTCCCTTCCTCTGCTTCTCTCTCTTCCTCTCTCCCTTCCCCTTTCCAAGTGCCCCTCATCCCCTCGTCTCTCACTCTCTCTCCCACGAACATCACCGCTTCTGTCTCTTCTGTCTCCCCGATTCTCCGGCATATCCCTCTCTTTTTCCCGGCCAGTTGTGCGATCCTGCCTTTCCCTCACCGCCTCTCTCTCCCTTTCCCTCTCACTCTTCCTCCTCTCTTCCTCCTCACCCTCCCTTCTCCTCTCGCTCTCACTTCCTCTCGCCCTTTCCCTCTCTCTCTGTTCATCCCTCTCCTTCTCCCGCGCCCTCTCCTCTTCCCTACTATCCCACTCCCTCTCCCGCTCTCTCTCCCGCTCTCTCTCCCTTTCCTTCTCCCTGCCTCTAATATCATTCTCCTTCCTCCTCTCCTCGCTCCTTCCACGTGTTTCTAACACTCTCTTCCCATCCGCCATCACACCATCATCACCCTCACTAGCCCTGCCACTCTCCCGGCCAATCTCCCGGCCACTCTCCCGGCCACTCTCCCGGCCACTCTCCCGGCCACTCTCCCTGCCCCGATCTCTCTTCCCATGCTCAGTACTCAACCCTACTTCGTACGCAATCTCCTTACTTGACCCTATGCCAACACCCTCCATCTCCACCACTCTCCCTCTCTCTTCCCTATCCCCTACCTCCTCCCCCTTCTCCACTTGTACCCCTTGTCCACCTCTTCCCACAACTTCCTCCGGTCTCTCTACCCTCTCTTTAACAGCTGGCTCTTCGCCATACCCTCGTGCCTCTCTCGCATGAATCTCCACCGGTGTTTCCTCTTTATTGCCCTTCACGCCCTCGAGCCTCCTCTGCCCTTCCTGCTCTGCCCCACCCTCCCTCCTCTCGTCAAACCCTCCCGCGTGCTTCTCTTCCCTCTCCTCTTCGTCGTGCCCCAATCCCTGCTGCTCCCAGCCACATCCTGACATCTGAGTCGACTCAGAAGTCATCCCACGCTTCTCCTGCCTCTCCTCTGCTCCGTGCTTGAATCCCTCCCGCTCCCAGCCATATCCACCCCTACCCTCGCCACCCTCCAACCCTTCCTTAACAGACACAACGCCTGGTCTGATCTCCAGGGTTTTTTCACTCGCTCCCCTATCTTCCTCGTCCTCCTTTTTGAGTCGACTCAAAATGCACCTATCTTCCTCGTCCTCCTTTCCTTCTTCAACCACCCCCAATCCATCCTTTGCTGCCTCCTCCCTTCCCACTTCCTCCTCCTCCTCCTCCTCCTCCTCCTCCTCCTCCTCCTCCTCCTCCTCCCCATGCCCCCTCTCTTGCATCTCCACTTCTCCATACTCCCCTATTCCTTCACCATCCCCCACCGTACCACCATCCCCCACCGTACCACCATCCCCCACCGTACCACCATCCCCCACCGTACCACCATCCCCCCTCCTCTCACCAGCAGCAGCAGCAAGAGCGCCAAACCCTTCTCCCAAAACTCCCCTCTCCAACTCATCTTCTCCTTTCCTTGACTTCATCCCTGCAACCTCCTTCCTCCACCCAGCTTCCCTTTCTGACCTCTCCCTGCTGCTATCACCACCACCACCATCACCACCACCACCAATGCTGCTGCTACTGCTAGTGCTGTCACTGCTGCCGCCGCTGCTGCTGCTGCTGCTGCTGTTGGTACCCTTTTTGCCAGGGTCACTTGGCCCCTTCTCACTGTCGCTGCTACTCCTGCTACTGCTTCCACTGCTGCTGCTGCTGCTGCTGCTGCTGCCCCCGTTGGTAGAAACCCCACTTTTTTTCGACCGTTTCAGCAAACCTTCGCCTGCCTCTGCTTCATTCATTTCGGCAGTTTCCTCTGCTTTCGCTGCTTTCGCTTCTTCCACTACTTTTTCCACCGCCTTCCTCTGTGGCTGCTGCCGCTGCCGCTGCTGCTGGATTTCCCTCTTCCCCCCTCTCTCATCCTCCTCTCTCCTCTCGTCCTCCTCTCTCCTCTCATCCTCCTCTCTCCTCTCGTCCTCCACCCTCTCCTCTTTCTGTGTCACAACAGGCAGACGCAGCCGGCCCAACCCTACCTTTGAGGGGGCTACTTGTTCTGCTCCCATTATCTTCTCTCCCTCCTCTCTCCTCGTCCTCTCTCCCCCTGCTTCCCTTTCACGACGCATTCGCTGGTCCGAACGGCTCCTGCTCCTCCTCACCCCCCAACCGGCACTTACCAAAGCGTCATGCTTCTTTTTCTTCCGAATCCCAACTATCCTTCCTGGCAGCAAAATCCTCCTCCTCTTCTTCTCACCACCCTCCCCTTCCACACCCCCTGGCCCCTCCTCCTCAATTGGTCCTTTGTCTTGGCCCCCCTCTCCCCCTCGTTCTGCCCGTCTCCCCCCCTCTTCTAGCACCTCTACTCCTCCCTCTCCTCCCTCTCCTCCCTCTCCTCCCTCTCCTTCCTCTCCACCTCCCTTCCCTCCTTGCTCTGCAAGCTCTAAAGTACCTCCCCTTTCCCCTCCCCTTTCCTCTCCCCTTTCCTCTCCCCCTTTCTCTCCCCCACCCGGCATCTCCTTCATGCTCCCCTTTCTCTGCCCACTCTTACCTCCCACTCCTCCCACCCCTTCCAGTTCACCCCCCTCCTGTCCCTCCCCTCCCTCCTTCCTCTCTGCTCCCTCTCCTCCCTCCCCTTCCTTCACACCTGCCTCTACAACCACCCCCAGCTTCCTCTTCCGTCCTCTCTTTCTCCCCGAACCACCACCCGCACTTGCAGGATGCAAGGGGGCCGAAGGGAGCGAAGGGGATGGGGCAGGAGAAGGGATAGCGGCAGGGGAAGGGGAAGGTGAAGGTAACGCTGAAGGGAAGGCAGACGAGCCAAGAGCACACTTTTCCTTATCCACCGCAGTGGCGCATCTTCCCTCGCTGGTCCCTCCCTCTTCCTTCACTCCTCCTTTGCCCTGCACTTGAGCCGTCTTCTTCCCTTGAGTCGACTCAAAAGCATATTCGGCCTGCACTTGAGCCATCTTCTTCCCCTTCCCTCGCTGCTCATGCCTCACGCTATCGTACCCCTCCTCGCTCTTCTTCCTTCTCTCCTCGTTACCCTCCTCCCCTTCCTTCCCCCCTTCCTCCCTCCTCTCCCCCCCCTTCCCCCCCTCAACTAGGCTTGCCATACTCCTCTGCTTCCTCGCCCTAGGACTTGGCAGTACCACACCAGACCCTTTAGAAGCCAACTCAATATTAGGCTCGCTCTTAGACTCGTTATAAGTCTCGTTCTCGCTTTGCTGCTCCCATTTACCAGCTACCATCTGCGGAATCCGGAAGAGGCCTACCTTTATCCCCTCCCTGCCCCGTCCCTCCTCCCCTCCCGCCAACCCCTTCCCTGGCACATGTGACTCTTGAGCTAACCCCTTCCCTGGCACATGTGACTTTTGAGCTAACCCCTTCCCTGGCACATGTGACTTTTGAGCTAACCCCTTCCCTGGCACATGTGACTTATGAGCTAACCCCTTCCCTGGCACATGTGACTTATGCGCCAACCCCTTCTCGTCCTGCTCCTCCCATCCTCCCTTTACCACCACTTCCGCCTTCCCTTCTCTACCGCTTACCACACCCGGCTGCATAGCCGCTTCACTTTTGCCCCTTTTCTCAATCTCGACCTCCACCCCCTTATCCCCCCTTCTCTTCCTCTCAGCCTTCTCTTTGCGCCCCGCCGTCTCCTTCTCCTTCCCCTGCCACAACCCATCATCGTTTTCGGTGCCACTGCTTTCCTTTGCTGCCTGCCTGTCACCTCTCTCCCTTTCTGCTTCCCTCTCCCCCCTCTCCCCCCTCTCCTTCCTCTCCTTCCCCTCCCTCCTCTCCTTCGACTCCTTCCCCTCCTTCCTCTCCTTCCTCTCCTTCCCCTCCTCTCCTACACCTATAGTTTCCACCTCTCTCTCTCCTTCCCTCCTCTCACTCTCCACTCCCTTCCCAAGACTGCCGCTGCGTTTGCGCCGGTGCGGATGCTGCTCTGCCTTCCCCTGATGCACATGTGAGCCCCCCCTCCCATGCCCACCCTCCTTCCCAGGCTTTTCTTCCTTCCCAAACTTCTCTCCATACTCTTGCCCAAACGCCATCACATGCGTATCTGTGCCTCGATGGCCGTGCTTGTGCTGATGGCTGTGGTGGTGGTGGTGCTGCTGCGGCCGATGCTTCTTCTTCTTCTCCCCCTCCTTCTCCTCCTCCTCCTCATCAACCTTCTGATGGTGGTGGTGGTGGCGCTGCCGATGCTGCTTCTTCTTCTCCTCTTCCTCCTCCTGATCATCATCCCGCTCGGCCCTTCGTTCCTTCGCCTTTGCTCCTTGCACTCCCAGCCTCTCCCCTCCTGCCTTCCCGCCCCCCCCATCCCCATCGCTCCCCTCCCTCCCATCCCCTTTATTGAGCTCCCTGCCGGGTCCTTTTGAGAGCTTCAGCCTGCCATCCCTCCCCTTAGAGAGCTTAAATCTGTGCTTTCGCTTCCCTCCTCTCTTCCTTTCCCCTACAAACCTCTCACCTTCCACCATCTCTTCGCCCCCCCTCTTCCGCAACTCTTTCCCTCTTTGCCCTCCCCTTTTCCTTCCCCCCTTACCCGCCCTCTCTGCTGCTGCAAACTCCCCAGCCTCTCCCCCAACCCTCTCACTATCGCCATCGACCCATATCCCCTCCACTTCCTCCTCTTCCTCCTCTTCCTCCCCCTCCAATACCACTTCCTCCTCCCCTTCACCCATCCTCCTCTTCCCCTGCTCCTCAACTCTTTCAACCTCCTCAAACTCCCTCTTCCTCTCCCATAACTCCCTCCTACCACTCTCTCTCACATACTGCACTTCTTCCTCCTCTCCCTCCTCTCCCTCCTCTCTCTCCACTCCCTCCACTCCATCCACGCCATCCCCTTCCCGATCCCCCACCTCCCCCTCTCCCTCCTCTTTCTCTCCCTCCTCTTTCTCTCCCTCCTCTTTCTCTCCCTCCTCTTCCTCTTCCTCCCTCTCTTCCACCCCCCTCTCACCCACTTGCCCCTTCAACTCTTCCTCCTCCTCATCACCACCCTCCTCCCCTTGTCCTCCCACTCCCTCTTCGAGCACACGCACCCCATCCTCCTCCCCACCCTCCCCTCTCTTGAACTCCCCTTCTTCTTCCTCGTCCTCTTCCTCCCCCTCCCCCGCTCCCTCTCCCTCCTTCCAACCCCCCACCTCGACAGCCTTGGCCGAACCTCCTTCCAAGCCTCCCTCTTCCTCAATTGCCACCTTCCTCCGCTTCCGAAGCGCAGGCTTGGCAGTGGTAGCCGCGGCCACAGCCACCTGCCTCGAGTTCGCCCTCAGCCACGTCACCACCTCCCATGGATCCTCGACCAGTCGCGGCCACTCCTCCTCCTCGTCCATCCTATCAAACAGCGCCAGCTCAGCATCCCCCCGGGCAATCATGCGGTTTACCTCGCGCATGGAGGGTACATCGGGAACCGCCTCCTGGTACCGCTCTACATCCTTTAGTAACGCCTCAAGAGTTATCCGTCTCTCTTCCTGCGTCGTGCGCTGGTCGAACCGCCCAGCGTTGATCACCTCGTCTGCCATCTCAATCTTGTGCTGCTGAATCTTGGTGCGAACCAGCGTCTCGATCGACCCTAAGTACCGCGACCCACCTTCTCCTCCTCCCCCTCCTTTTCCTTCCCCTCTTCCTCCCCCTCCTCCCCCTCCTTTTCCTTCCCCTCTTCCTCCCCCTCCTCCCCTTCCTCCCCTTCCTCCCCTTCCTCTCCCCCTTCCTCCTACTCCTCCCCCTCTTGTACTCGCATCCCCCCCTGCTCCTGCTGCTTTTCCTCCCCGTGCTGCTGCTGCTGCTGCTGGGGGTGAGCGGGGAGAGTGGCCTCCCCTCTTCCTCTTCCTACATCTCCCCTCTCTCCTCCCCCCTCCACCCCCCTCCCCCTCTCCCCCCACCCCTCCTCCCCTCTCAATCTCATCCTCTTTACAGTACGCTGCAGTAGCATCTGTAACCGCTTCAAGGTACATCACCAGAACCTCCCTCTTCTGCCCGATTCTATGCGCCCGAGCCACCGCCTGTTCCTCGTTCTTAGGGTTCGGGTCCGGATCATATATCACCACCGTATCCGCACTCTGAAGATTCAGCCCCCTCCCCGCCGCCCGAATACTCAGCAAGAAGATAAAATTCTCCGACCCGGCCTTGTTAAACTCGCCAATAGCAGCCTCCCTGGCGTCTAGAGGCGTGGAGCCATCTATCCGGCAGTAGTTAAGGCGCCTCCACCTCAAATAGTCTTCTAAAAGGTCTAGTAGCTTGGTCATAGTCGAGAATAGTAGCACCCGGTGGCCCGTGCGGTGCAGTTTAAGCAGGACTCGATCTAAGATATAGAACTTGCCGCACGTGCGCACGATCACATCTGGGCTGTAGAAAGTGTAACCGCCGGGGTTACCACCGCCTGGAGCATCATAGAATTCCCCTCTGTCTCCAGTAGCAGCAGCACCAGAATCGGAACCAGCACCAGCAGCACCACCACTACCAGCACCACCACCAGCAGCGGTAGCAGGGGCAGAAACTGTGAGGTCATACGAGGTGTAGGTCAGAAACGGGTGATTAACCACCTTCCGTAACTCCATGCACCGGTTCTGCACCGGCACAAACTCCCGCACACTCCTCTGCACCGTGCTCCCGCTGCTCTTCCCCGCCGCCACCCGCCGAGCCTCCTGCTCAGGGTCGGTCCGCAGCGTACCTGTGGCCCGGACCCAGTCGTAGATCGCAGCCTGGCAGGCGGAGAGCGGGCAGCGGAGCACCACAGAGGTCTTCTTGGGGAGGTTGCCCTCGACGTCTTGCACCATGCGGCGGAGCATGAAAGGCTCCAGAATCTGGTGCAGCCGGTGAATCACGATCACCTTCTTCTCGGTCTCCAGCCAGTCCAGCTCGTCTGCTGCTGCTGATCCCGCACCCGCCGCACCCCCTCCCGCTCCTCCTCCTCCTTTGGTGTCTTTTTGGAAGGGCGAGGCGAACCAATCGTTGAAGACCTTGCTGGAGTCAAACACGTCCGGCAGGAGCAGATTGAGGAGCGACCAGAGCTCCCGCAGGTCGTTCTGCGTGGGAAAGGGAGGAGGAGGGGGGAACATGTGGCGGGGGGGGAGGGGGTTGGGAGTGGGGCGAACCAGTCGTTGAAGACCTTGCTGGAGTTGAACACGTCTGGGAGCAGCAGATTCAAAAGCGACCAAAGCTCCCGCAGGTCGTTCTGCGTGGGAAGTGGAGGAGGAGGGGGAAACAAATGGGGGGAGGGGGGGTGAGAGATGACAGGCGAAACTTTGCTGGAGTCGAACAAGTTGGGGAGCCGCAGGTTTTGAGGCGCCTCAAAACTGTGCTGGAGTCGAACATGTTGGGGAGCCGTAGGTTTTGAGGCGCCTCAAAACTTTGCTGGAGTTGAACACGTTGGGGAGCCGCAGGTTGAGCAGCGACCAGAGCTCCAGCAGGTCGTACTGATTTCGCAAAAAGTTGAGAGGGCAGAAGAAGGGGGGTGATGGGGTCGAACGAGGAGAGGGAGAGGAGGCGGGCGGGGATGCTCAAACACGAGGCTGAGTAGTGACCAGACCAGAGGTCTCCGTGTGGGCGAGGCAGAAGGGAATTGATGGGATTCAAAGAGGGGGGGAGTGTGTGTGTGTGTGTGTTGGGGGGGGGGGGGGGGGTTTGAAAGAAGACGGGGTAGCGCCAGTCCCCACTGCCTCTGAAACCTTAAACCCCAAAATCCGAACCCTCACCTCACCTGGAGTGGACTCCCAGTGAGCAGCAGTCGCCTCTGCCCTGTGAAGCGATCCAAATCCTTCGATAACAGCGAGTTCCTGTCTCGAAAAACAGGTAGTGCCTGCCGGCTCCATGTCGTGCTTTTGAGGCGCCTCAAAAGCGAACAACAGGTAGTGCCTGCCGGGTCCATGCCGGCCCAAGAGCCTCAAACCCTAAATCTCCAGAGCCTACTCACCAGCAGCGGCGTGCCAGTGAGCAGCAGCCGAGGGAAAGATAGCGCCTCCTCCTTCGCTGCACTTTGAATCTATCAAAACCACGAGACAGCCGGGAGCCTCTGTATCTTTCCTGCGGTGCGACTCATCGATCACCAGGTAGCACCCTAAGTGGGAAAATTCGCTTTGGTTCCCCAGCGTTTTGCGAAAATTCGTAAGCGTAAATTCGTGTTTGCGAATTTACCTGAAATTCGCGAAACGCTGGGGGGAATTTTTGGGGCAGCCTGGACAAAAAAAAGAGAATTTATCCGTGGCCTCGCCAATTCGCGATTCCAACTTTTGACACCCCAAACATGCTTCCAACCCCTCCCAAGCTGCCAACCGCATCTAGAAAACCAAACCCATCACGCATCTCACGCTGCTCTACCCAGACCAAACCAAACCCAACTCACGCTACTCATCATCACGCACCACACACCTTACGCAACCTTATCACGCATTTCACGCTACTCTACCAGAGGTAGCGCTAACCTAATCCCTCTGCGTCTTAGCTAGCTGATCAAGTTGAAGCACAGACTTCAGCTTACCGCACGAGAATCCGAGCTGCAATGTTGAGCCTCCCAGATCAGGGCGCTAGTGAGGACACGACGGGCGATGTATCAGGTTGAACTTCGAAAAGCAATATTTATTTTGTGCTAAAACGTTCTTGCTTGAAAAGTGTTGCACTGACAGACACTCCCACACCCCCCCCCGGCCCAACCTACCCGGGAACCGTTTTTTTGCCTGCCCGGGCAATTTTTTTCTGCCCGGGCTGAACGAATTTCCCAGCGAGTTTAAAATGGGGCCCTGGCGTATGGGCGAATTTACGCCAGCGTAAATCCGCTAAAGAATTTACGCGGAACGCGAATTTTCCCACCACCAGTTCACGTGGGCCAATAAAACCCGAACCGCAGCCCCAAACACTCAAATCCTACCTGCAGCGGCGTGCCCTAGAAAGAAAATTGAGCCCCTGGTCCCCCTCACCCTCTCCCCCTCTCATCCTCTCCCCCTCACCTGGAGTGGCGTGCCAGTGAACAGTAGCCTTTTGAGGCACCTCAAAAGTCGAACCCCAGCCCCAAACACTCAAATCCTACCTGCAGCGGCGTGCCCTAGAAAGAAGCTTGAACCCCCAGTCCCCCTCTCATCCTCTCCTCCCCCTCACCTGGAGTGGCGTCCCAGTGAGCAGTAGCCTTCGCTGCACTCTGAACCGGTCCCAGTCCCTTGATAGCCTTGAATCTCTGTCTTTCATTCTGTGCGCATCGTCGATGACCAGGCAGCGCCAGTCCACACGGGCCCTGGAACCTTAAAACCTCAGTCCCTCTGTCTCCCTAAACCCCTCACCTGGAGTGGCGTGCCAGTGAGCAGCAGCCTTCGCTGCACTTTGAACCTGTCCAGGTCCCTTGATAGCCTTGAATCTCTGTCTTTCATTCTGTGCGCCTCGTCGATCACCAGGTAGCGCCAACCCACCCACTACCCCTAGAAGCATAAACCACGAAACCTGTAACCCTCACCTGCAGTGGCGTGCCAGTGAGCAGGAGTCGCCTTTGCACTCTGAACCTGTCCAGGTCTCTTGACAGCCTTGAATCTCTGTCTTTCATGCGGTGCGCCTCGTCGATCACCAGGTAGCGCCAGTCCACGCGGGAGAGGCGGGCACGATCGCGCATGATAAACTCAAAGGTGGTCACCAGCAGGTTGAACTTCATTGGGGCTACCTCCTGGGAATACGGAATGGGGAAGTGGGCACGAGAGGGAGAGGGGGGGGGGGGGGGGGAGGGGGAGGATAGGAGGATGTTTGGGGCTACCTCCTGGGAATAAGGAACGGGAAAGTGGGCACGAGAGGGAGTGGGGGGGGGAGGGGGGGGGAAGTGGGGATGATGAACTCAAAGGTGGTCACCTCACCAGCAGGTTGAACTTCATCGGAGCCTTTCATTCTGGGAATAAGGAATGGGGAAGTGGGGACGAGAGGGAGGAGGGGGGGAGGGGAAGGAGGTCGTCTGAGGCACCTCAAGAGCCCACGCGGGAGAGGCGGGCGCGATCGCGCATGATGAACTCAAAGGTGGTCACCTCACCAGCAGGTTGAACATCATCGGAGCCACCTCCTGGGATGGAGGGGAAAAGAGGAGGGTTGGTGAGGACGAGGGGGGAAGAGACCGGAGTCTGCGGCTGCGCATCATGAAGATCCCGATTCCCGTATCCCTGCACACGTTCGGTAGAGGTGGGCCAGAATGCAGGCAGGTAGCGCCTGGTGCATAGAGGCATATTTGCACCAGGCAGGCAGCGCCTCCCACATACCGTGTGTGCAATTCTGACTACCAGTCGACCCACCCTCACTCCCACCTAATCCAGAGGTGATAAGATTCACACACTCACACCCACACCCTCACCTTGGCGTACAGCTTGGCGCGCTGCTCTTTGCCCCTCACGCAGAACACCGAAAACACCCCTGTGATTCATTCTGCCTGGCGCTGCTCTTGGGGCAGCAATTCATTCTGTTCCCTGCTCCTGGCGTTCCAAGCTACACACACCACACACCACGCCTCACCTTGGCGTACAGCTTGGCGCGCTGCTCCTTCCCCCCCACGTAGAACACAGCTGAGACAGAGGGCAGCCAGGCATGCAGCTCTGACTTCCAGTTCACGAGCACCGCGTTGGGGACAATGATGAGGTGCGGGCCGTAGTTGTTCTTGTGCTCCATGAGATAGGCGATTAGTGCCATGACCTGTTAACAGAGGGGAGCAAGGAGAAGGGGGCACCGAGGGACGAACGAGGGACCGCTAGCCTTTCAGTTGACGAGCACTGCGTTGGACACGATGATGAGGTGCAGCGGGCCGTAGCTGTTCTTGTGCGCCATGAGGTAAACGAGGAGGGCCATGACATGTTGTGACGGGCGGGGGGGGAACAAGGAGGCCAGAGAGGTGCGTGAGGTACCGTAGGCCTTCCAGGTACCGTAGGCCTTCCAGGTACCGTAGGCCTTCCAGGTACCGTAGGCCTTCCAGGTACCGAGCACTGAGTTGGCTCCATCAGATAGGCAAGGAGTGCCATCACCTATTGCTGGGGCACATGAAATTACGCGACGAACTCACTCCCACGCGACACGTTTTTGGGTTACCTCAGAAACAAGGAGAAGTGCCCCGCCCTGCAACGTCCCTGCAAAGGAGGGATCGACCGCATGCTCTTTGCACAGGGCGGCGCACTTCTCCTTGTTGTCGCGTGAGACCATCGCCGCTTTCTTAATTTCGTCATCAAAGAGAAACAGGTACTCGAACCGCATTTTCCAGGCTGGATCATGGCGGGAAGCAAGTTTTTGATGGAGCAGACTGCCGTAGCTGGCCTTCTACTCAATCAGATACCTCACCTGATAAAAAGAGAGTCAGTTACGACCAGGTCCCTATAACCCCCGTTCCAGGTGCTGCACCTACCAGCACCGTACTGCACCCACCTGCACTGTCTTCCCCAGACCCATTTCGTCTGCCAGAATGCCGTTGAGCCGGTTGTTGTACAACGAGACCATCCACTGCAGGCCCACCTGGTTACCACCACAGAGAAGGGGTTACAGATAAAGGGAAAGAGGGCAGGGAAGGGATCAATCGGTTGTTGTACGGTGAAACCATCTACTGTACTGCAGACCCACCTGGTTACCACTCAGTAAGATAGGTTACAAAGGGGTTGGAGGAAAAAAGAGAGGAGGAAGAATACGTCGGTCGACCCGCATGGTCTCACACGCGGAACAAGGCATGCGTAGGACCTGGGCGACCCGCATAAGCAGGACTGTACTAGCACCACTCCACTCACCATCTCGTACTCCCTGAGTATCCCCATCCACAGCACGGACTGCTGGTGGGCCATGGCCTCTTTTTGAGGCGCCTCAAAAACGGACTGCTGGTGGGCGATGGCCTCAGGCGGTCAAGGCCTGTGTAAGACCCATGCGGCCTGCAGCACTAGCACCACTCCACTCACCATCTCGTACTCCCTGAGGCTGAGAGCCTCCGTTCGCAGCATGGATGGCTGGTGCGCGATGGCCTCTGAAACCGAGCAGGCATGTTCAACGAATGGAGTGGCCTGCACTAGCGTGACCCGGCTCGCCATCTAATACCCCTACGTGCCCCCATCCACTCACCATCTGGTACTCCCTGAGTGTGGCCATTCACAGCATGGATGGCTGGTGAGTGACTGTGAGACGTTGAGAAGAGCATCTTCAACAACTGTGAAGGCTAAAGTCAGCACTCCACTCACCATCTGGTACTCCCTGCTCCTGAGTGTGCCCATCCGCAGCATGTACGGCTGGTGGGTGATGGTCTCTGAAACCGAACAAGGCATGTGTAGGTAGGGACCATGCAGCCTGCATTACCAGGGCGGCATTACCAAGACGGCATTGCAAGCGTTCCACTCACCATCTGGTACTCCCTGAGTGTGCCCATCCGCAGCATGGATGGCTGGTGGGTGATGGTCTCTGAAACCGAATGGGCCAGCTTGTAATACCTGAAAGGGACAGCGGTGAAAGGGATGGTGGAGAAAGCGACGGCGGAGAAAGCGACGGCGGTGAAAGGACAAGGCCTTAGAGAAGGGAAAGATATGAGCCCAAAGAGCCTCGAGCAGCAAAAACGAAGGGAGAATGAACCACAAATTCATCGTTTGAAAGGATCCCCCCTCCCCCCGACAGAATCGGCCTCACTCACTTGGACACGGCAGCCGCCCCTGTCTCTCCACCATCCCCATCCATCTCCGGACCATCCCTGCGAGACAGGCCTGCCACCACCCTCTGCACATACGCCTCCACCTCCTCCTCCCCCATGCCCTGAGGGAGAGAGAGGGGGGGAGGGCGGAAGGGGGCGGGATGGAGTGGGGAAGAGGGTTAGATCGTTGCGAGACAAGCCAGCCACCACCCTCCGCACATGCACCTCCATTGATCTCCTCCACACTCAAGCCTGCTCGTGCGTGTGTCTGTGGCAAGGGAGAGGGAAAGGAAGGGAGGTGTTATAAGCAGGGAAAACGGTCCTATAGTCTGACATGCCCTGCGCCATCCTCTCATCCCTCCCTCCTACCCCTTCCCCGCCCCTGCCCCCACCCCTGCTCCTCCTCCTCATTCGTCCTCTTCCCCTGCTTTTCTTTCTCACCTTTTCTCTCGCCTCAGCAGCAGCAGCCACAGCAGCCTCCTCGATCTCCTGCACACTCTTAGCACCACAGATGCCATCTCCCACCCTCGTACCTCCCTTCTCACCTTGAACCCCTCCCCCCCCCTTCCCCCTTCTCACCTTCTCCCTAGCCTCGGCAGCACCAGCCACAGCAGCCTCCTCAATCTCCTGCACGCTCTTAGCCGCACGGATCTTCCCTCCGAGCTTCCTCAGATACTTTTGAGGCGCCTCAAAAAGATGACTTTTGAGGCGCCTCAAAAGTCCCTCAGAGCTTCCTCAGCTCGGCTACTCCTCTGTCTGCCCCAGAAACGAGCTCAGCTCAGGCCCTCACCACCAACATCCCAATCAACGCAAGCTACCTCCCGCCCCTGCCCCCCCCCCTTGTCCGCCCCAGCTCCCCCGCCCCGCTCCCGCCCCTGCACCTCCTCATTCGTCCCCCCTTTCTCACCTTTTCTCTGGCCTCAGCAGCAGCAGCCACAGCAGCCTCCTCGATCTCTTGCACGCTCTTCGCAGCACTGATCTTCCCCCCGAGCTTCCTCAAATACTCCTCTGTCTGCCCCAGAAACGAGCTCAGCATCTCAAACCGCTCCTTCGCCCCCTTCCCCACCCCCGCCTTCCCCTTCTCCTCCTCCAACATCGCCCTATAAGCATCCATATCGTTACTCTTTAAAAGCATTTCCACCCGCCGCTGCCGCTCCTCCTCTCGCCTCCTCGCCGCCTCCCTCGCGGCCTGCTCGTGGAATCGCACTACGTGCCGGTTCCGCGCCGCCCGCCCGTCGCGCGCCGCCAGCTGGCGGTCGGCGAGGATCTGGCGCCGGGCAGCGAAGACAGCCTTGAGGAGGCGGTCGCGGGCGGCACGGCGGGATAGCGCGTGGGATTTTGCGATGTCGGCGCGCTGGCGGTGCGCCCAGCGCAGGAAGGAGCGGTAGGGGCGGTCTGGCATGGCTTGTATTTCCTGCTCCTCCTCAATCAGCTCCTGACGCACCTTTGCCTGCATAAGTTAAGTGATTCGCGTGTGGGGGAGGAGGGGGAGGATGGGGGAGAAGGGGGAGAAGAACGTTTGACATGGCACAGGCATGCGCCCAGCACAGGAAGGAAGGAGCGGTTTGACACCTGAACACCTGAAGGAACACCTGACCCACCTGAAGGCGGAACACACCTGAAAGTCTGAGAGTCGAAGCATTTTCTGGTGGATTTGCAGTCTGAGGCGATCCCTGGGCGTCAGCACCACCTCAGACCCAGCAGCAGCAGCAGCAGCAGCCGCAGCAGCCGCCGCAGCCCCACTGGCAGCAGCATTTGACTTGTTATCGCTCCCTCCCTGCCCCCCCTTCGCACCTTCCGCTCCTCTCTCCTCCCTCCCGTCCTCCCCTCCGTCTGCCGCCAGCGGCAGCAGCGGCGGCAGGTCCTTGTCACAAGCAGGAGCGGGGGGGGAATCAGCTAGAGAAATCGGCTCGGAAGGAGGGGGAAACACAGGGAAAGGAGTATCCCCAGAAGACAACTCTTCAGTCAACTCCAATGTATAGCCAGGAGCAGCAGGGGCATGACCAGCAGGAGCACCCCCCAGCAGCCGGTCGATCTCTCTGAGCCGCGCATCCCTGTTGGCCCGCACCATGCGCCCCACCTCCTCTCTCATGAGCCCCTGCACGTCCACCCCAAACCGCACCTGCCGCAGCGCCGCCCGCACCTGCTCCTGACTCATGCGGCTTATAACCTCCCTTCTTGCTGCTGCTGCTGCTGCTCCTGGCGCTGCTGCTGCTGCCGGTGCTCTTCCTACCCCTCCTAGCGCCCCTAACCCTCCTGTTGCCCCTGGTGCTCCTATTTCCCCTCTTGCTGCTCCTCCTGCAGTTCCTCCTGTATCCGCCCCTTCTGTTCCTCCCACTTTCCTTTCGGTTGCCGGCCCTCCTGCTCCTCCTGCTACCCCTCCTGCTCCTCGTGCACCCCCTGCCGCTGCTGCTCTTGACCCATCCACACCCTCCCCTACCGCACCGCCCACAACGATCTCTTCAACAGCCGCACCGCTTCCCACCGCACCCCCCACTACAGACCGCATCAGGGCGCTAAACCCCTCCCTCTCTCCTGCAAACCCCCCCCCTGCAACACCCCCCACTGCAGCATCCCCCATACCCTTGTCTTTAGCTACAGCAGCACGAATAAGTGCCCCAAACCCTAGAGACTTCCCAGCAGCAGCCACAACAGCACCAGCAATGGCAGCAGGAGTGGGGGGCGGAGGGGGCGTTGGAGGCTTGGGCACAGCTGCGGCTCGTGCCGAACCTGCTCCCGAACCTCGGCCCGGACCTCTTGTCGAGCCTGGACCACCAGCGACAGTAGGTGTCACACCAGCAGCAGCCTTGGATGTGTCTGCAGCAGCAGAAGAAGCAGGCTGGGTTGCTGATCCACCTTTTACGGCTGCTGCTCCTGCTGGCCCTCCCTTAGCACCTGAACCCGTCTTCTTATCCCCTCCTTCCTTGCCAGACGCTAAGATAGCCATGGCAGCAGCTGTAGCGGCAGCAGCAGAACCAGCAGCTATAGAACCTCCCAGAACTTTACCGCTGCCAGCAGCAGGGGGCTTTTGCTGGGCTCCTGCTTTCTGCCTGCTCAGGTTGGCCTTTGGGGCATTCTGCGTTGCAGCAGAGGCAGGCCCAATGGTCGACGCAGCTAGGGCATAAGGCCCTGCACCCGTCGCAGTTGCTGCTGTTGCTGTTGCTGCTGCTGCTGCTGCTGCTGCGGCTGCAGTCACAGCAGCAGGACCCATTATCTGAGCTTTCATTTGCGCCTTCAGCTGCTGCTGCTGCTGCTGCTGCTGCTGCTGCTGCTGCTGCTTGCCTGCAGTGGCTGCAGCAGCAAGCACTTGAGAACCCCCTCCCTGCGAACCCACCTGCTCCTTGTCTCCCTTTCCCTTACCCTTCCCTTCTCCCTCCCCTCCCCCCACCTTTGCCGGCTGTTTCTCCCCACCTTCTCCCCCCTCCTTCCTCTTCCGCTCCTCCTCCTCCTTCTGCTTCTTCTCTTTCTCCTGCTGCTGCAGCAGCAGCCTCTGTTCCCTAAGCTCCTTCCTCCTCCGTTTCTTGGCGTCTGCCTTCCGCTGCTTCCTCTCCTCGTCTGTCAGAAGCACCCGCCCTCCTCGCCCAATCACCCTACCTGCTGTAGCAGCAGCAGCAGCAGCTGTAGCAGCAGCAGCAGCAGCAGCTGTAGCAGCAGAACCCCCTGCTGTAGAAGCTACTGCAGCTGGGGCAGTTGCACTGGCTGCAGGAAGGCCGCTGCCTGAGGCAGCAGCAACAGTCGCGGTGGCAGCAGGAGAAGCAGCAGGAGGAGTAGCAGCCGGAGCAGAAGCAGCGGCACCTGAAGCTGAAGCCAAAGCAGAAGCATCAGCAGCTGCAGTGGTGGCTGCTTGTGCTTGTGCCTGAACGCCCTTCTGCCGTTGCTTCTGTTGCTGCTTCTGCTGCTGCTGCTGCTGCTTCTGTGCTGCTTGCCTCATCAATGCAGCAGCAGCAGCAGCAGCAGTAGCAGTAGCAGTTGCGCCAGCAGCACCAGTCGTTCCTGTGGTAGCAGATACAGAGCCAGTCCCAGCCATTACACCTGGCAAGCCACCACCTACAGTCACCCCCTTTACAACACCATCTCCTCCTTGTGCCACTGCTGTGGTAGCCACTGCTGCCCCCACGCCCTTTACGCCCATGCCAGCAGCACTACCAGCAGCACTACCAGCAGCATTACCAGCAGCACTACCAGAAGTGCCAGCACCCACAGCACGACCACCAGTGCCAGCAGCTCCAGCAGCTGAACCTGCAGCAGCAACAGATGCAGAAGCAGCAGCAGCAGTGGCAGCGGCAGCAGCAGTGGCAGCAGTGGCAGCAGTGGCAGCAGTGGCAGCAGTGGCAGCAGTGGCAGTGGCGGCAGTAACAGCAGCAGCAGTAGCAGGAGTGGCAGCAGCGACAGCAGGCTGTGCGCGTCTAAGGTTGGTTGGCAGCGGGGGAGGAGTGATCGAGCTGAGAATCTCTGGAGGCAGCTGCTGATCCCCTCGCTGGAAACGAGGGCGGGGGAGGGGGGGAAGTTGGGGGAAGGCACGGGGGGGGTGGGGGGGAGAGAGGGAGGGAGGTAGGGAATCGGGAGAGGGAAAGAAAGGAGGGGCGATTGAGTTGAGAATGTCTGGAGGCAGCTGGAGATCCCCTCGCTGGAAACAAAAGGGGAAAGGGGGGGGGGAAGGGGAGGGGTGGGGGGGAAGGGGGGAGGGGAGGAAGGTAGACAGGGTATGGTGGCGGTGAAAGAAAGGAAGAACGAGTTGAGCTGAGAATCTCAAGGGGGGAGCTGGGGATCCCCTCGCTGGAAACGAAGGGGGGAACCGGGGGGAATAAGGGGGGGGGGGGGTGTGGGGGGTTGTGAAGACAGGGTATCGCGGTGGTTAGAGAAAGGAAGAACGAGATGAGCTGAGAAAGTCTGGAGGAGGCTGCACTGCAGATCCCCTCGCTGGGAACAAGTGGGGAGAGGAAAAGATCTCAGAGGGTGGGGGAGAAAAGGAGGGGCGGGTTGAGGATCTCTGAAGGCAGCTGCGGATTCCAACGTTGGGAAGAGAGGAGGGGCAGGGGGTAAAGGCCAGTTAAACCAACTAAAAAACAGAGGGGAGAGAGAGAGAGAGACAGTATGAAACCTATGTGAGGTTTTTCGCCCTAGCAGTCGAAACCTATGGGGCCCTCGCCCCGTCCACGGCAGCCTTCCTCAAGCTTCTTGCTGACCACTCGGCCCTCGTTCGCTTCCGCTCGAACCCACTTACCACGCCGGCGAAGAAGCTCTCCTCTCATTTCCGCCAGCGCTGGTCCGTCCTCTTGCAGCGGCTTCAAGCGTCTACAATCATCAGCCGGGCCGGGGCAGCAGTCCAGGCGGCATACCCACAACCCCAAGAGGATCCCTGGGCACCTTACCTGGGCGACCTTTACGCCACCCTCGACGCGGAGGGGGAATAGAACCTGTGGGGCAAGGGGGGGGGGCTACAGCCCGGGAGTTTGGGGCAGGTAGTGTAGGACTTGGGGCTTCGTTCTGTTGACTTTGCCTGCTTGTCTCTTGTTTCTCGTTCCTGTAGTTTGTACTCAGGGTTCTATCAATGCGCATGACCGCTTGAGAGAGTATGAAACCAAAGCTTCAGCAGCCGTCTAAATGCAAATACCTGCACAGCACACTATGCCTTCAGCCGTCTGAACGCGAAAAGCTGAGCATCTCACCTTAAGCCGTCTGAAAGCGAATATCTGAGCTCGAAGAACGGTCAACTGGGCTTTGGTGAACCCGTTGGGCTGAACTTGAGACGCCTCGTCCTCTTGCTCCTTCTTTGATTGCTCCTGCTGCTGCTGCTGCTGCTGCTGCTGCTGTGCTGCTGCTGCTGCTGCTGCTGTGGTGGCTGCTGCTGTTGCTGCTCTTTCTTGCCCTGCTGCTGTTCCAGCTGCTGTTGCTGCTGCTGCTGCTGCTGCTGTTTCTTCCTCTGTCTCTCAGTTTGCTTCTTCTTTGCCTGTGCTTTCTTGCCTGTTTGCTCGGGCTCTTGCTGTTGCTGCTGCTGCTGCAATCCTTGTAACTGCTGCTGCTGCTGCTGCTGCTGCTGCTTCTTCAGCAATTCCTGCTGCTGCTGCTGCAGTTGCTGCTGTAACTGGTGCTGCTGTTGCTGTTGCTGCAATTGCTCCTGTAATTGACGCTGCTGTTGCTGCAACAGTTGCTGCTGCTGCTGTTGCTTGAGTTGCTGATGGCGTTGCTGCAGAAGCAAAAGCTGCTGTTGTTGCTGATATTGTTGTTGTTGCTGCTGCTGCTGCTGCTGCTGCTGCTGCTGCTGCTGTGAAAGCTGTTGCTGCTGTGGGCTCGAATGCTGTTGCTGTGCCTGGTGCAATAGCTGCTGCTGCTGCTGTTGCTTCTGCTGCTGCTTCTGCTGTTGTTGCAGTTGCTGCTGATGCTGCTGCTGCTGTTGGTGCTGCTGCTGCTGTTGCTGCTGTTGCTGTTGCTGTTGCTGTTGCTGTTGCTGTTGCTGTTGCTGTTGCTGTTGCTGTTGCTGTTGCTGTTGCTGTTGCTGTTGCTGTTGCTGTTGCTGCCGCTGCTGCTGCTGCTGTTGCTGTTGCTGTTGCTGTTGCTGTTGCTGTTGCTGTTGCTGTTGCTGCTGTTGCTGCTGTTGCTGCTGTTGCTGCTGTTGCTGCTGTTGTTGCAGTTTCTGTTGCTGCTGCGACTGCTGCTGCTGCCCTTTCTGCTGCTGTTGTTGCTGTTGCTGTTGTTGAAATTTCTGCTGCTGGTGCTGCTGCTGCTGTTGCTGAAGCTGCTGCTGCATCTGCTGCATCTGTCTTTGCCTCTGAATCTGTAACAAAAGCTGCTGCTGCTGCTGCTGCTGCTGCTGCTGCTGCTGCTGCTGCTGCTGCTGCTGCTGCTGCTGCTGCTGCTGCTGCTGCTGCTGCTGCTGCTGCTGCTGCTGCTGCTGCTGGTTTCCACCTGTTCCCCCTTGCACAGCAGCAGAAGCAATCGTTTGCCTGCCTTGCGACCCCTGCACCCCCTGTGCACCTTGCATGCCTTGCATACCTTGCACCCCTTGCACTCCCTGCGCCCCTTGCACCCCTTGCACCCCCTGCGCGCCTTGCATGCTGGGCATCATCATCATCTTGCCAGAGGCGGCAGCCTGCTGCGCCAGCACCCATCCAGCCTGCCCCATAACGCCCTGCCCCATACCGCCCTGCCCCATACCGCCCTGCCCCATAACGCCCTGCCCCGCACCAGCCTGACCCATGACGCCCTGCTTCGCACCAGCCTGCCCCATAACGCCCTGCCCCGCACCAACCTGCCCCATAACGCTCTGCCCCATACCAGCCTGCCCCATAACGCTCTGCCCCATACCAGCCTGCCCCATAACGCTCTGACCCATAACGCCCTGCCCCGTACCAGCCTGGCCCATAACGCCCTGCCCCATACCAGCCTGCCCCATAACGGTCCGACCCATGAGCCCTCCAGTGCCCGCAGCAACAGCCATACCA